TGAAAAATACTGATTTTTCGCACGAACCCATTTGATTTTCAAAAATGTATATAGAAAATTGAAAAAAATGCGAAAATCATATTTGATGAAAAAAATTTTTATAATTTTAAAAAATAAAATCATAATTTTACATTATTATCTTAAAAATTCAAATATTAACCTACTTGAGTAGCCTATTAAATGTTATATTTCAGTTCTACCCTACCAGTAATCTACTGTTTTGGGGGTTGACTTATACAGTAGATACAAATCTAAATCAGAAAACTTTTACATCTTATATTTACATTACCTCATACAAGAAAAGATGCTATTGCAACTTCAGGTTTTTTGGCCAAATTGAATTNTCAGGATTGCCTTTTGTTGTCTTCTGCTCTGTTCTGCATGACTCATTTGTATATTGGTATGTGTAAATTCATATTTAATGTATTACAAACTAATTATTTTGAAGTTTAATATTATTTTTTAAGGTTTAAAACAAGAATTTCAAAAATGATTTTTGATATTGATATGAATTGAAAGGAAATTTGGCTGTTTGAAAATTCATTTGACTGCAATGTTGTCGACGTTTGAAGTCAGTTTCAAATGAAAATTATTGATATTCAAGCTAACGATCAAATCAAGGATAAATACAAGTAGGAAACTTGGTCAATTTTTACAAATTTTTGAATGCAATTTTTACAAATTTAAAGCAATTTGTTGTAAATTTATTTCTGTTTGAGACTACCTATCTATATGTGTGAACAAACTTTTCCAGGATGAAGTATTTGAAATCAAAGTACAGGGCAAATTTATCGGATGATCATTTGCAATCATTGCTTATAATTGGTGTTTTAGATTTTAATCCCAACTTTAAATATAAAAAAATTCTTCAGCAAAAAACACCGTTCCATCATTCCCATTAAAAGTTGCAAGAAATAATTTTCTAATTATGTATAATTTAGCCATGTTTGTTTAGTATTGGTGTATCTGTAATTAACTGTAAAAAAAAATAAATTCAATGCTGCTTTAGTCATAATGAGATTTTTTAATGCACAAATTTATGTGGCCCACTGCAAAGTACTTAAATTCCAATCTGGCCCTTGTGGCAAAAAGTTTGGACACCCCTACTCTAAATGATATTTACAAACTTCAAAAATCTTTTAATATGCAGTCTTTTTATTAAATTTTCTAACGCTTTCAGTCAGTTGATTGACTTCTTTAGGAAAAATAAAAAAATTCTGATTTATAAATGATATCTATTAGAATATGCTTTTCACATCTAAACCTGTTTTCTTGCTTTTAAAACATTGTCAGAAAACTTATGTCCCAAACAAAATGTGCTATGTGACAAAAAGTGATTTAATTAAAATGTACTATGTAATTATAGTCACTTCAAAACATAATATCTGAATAAAACACATATACATGATGACCATAACAATCATCTTTAGTTCCTATTAATTAATTAACAGGAACCTAATTAATCAATATTAAAATTTAAACTAATATATATTAACCACTTACTTTGACTCAGCTTCTTTAGCAATATACTAGACACATCCAACACACCTTATTCGCTGAGAACATATATTTATTAAACAAAACAAACGTTTTCAACCCGAGTCGAAAGACGTTAACCTGGAGATGGCCCGTAAATCGGGTTGAAAACGTTTGTTTTGTTTAATAAATATATGTTCTCAGCGAATAAGGTGTGTTGGATGTGTCTAGTACATTACTAATATAATTTTAATTCATTTTTAATTAATTGAGTAATTTAACAAAAATATAGTACTAGGACTGGTATCGAAGGTTTTCTAAATAGGCATATTATTAATTATTTTTATAATTTGCAAAATTTTAATAGTTCTGGCAGGACCTTTATGGCAGGAAGATATTTTTATATCAAAAAGTTCCTGCCAAAATGATAGTAAGTTAGATGTGTTATTTATTGCATTTTGCAAGATGAATACTAAGGAAGATTACTTGGCAATTGAAAATTTGTGAAAGCAAAAGAACATAGGAAATGTTTATCAAACCCAGAAAGCTGAAAGTTTAATAAGATGAAAGATAAAGAAATATTGGTTCTGTGGTCATCCTGCTTGCTATAAGTATTGTCAAAAAGTCTTGCACTGTAACTTGATATTCTCATAAATATCAAGTTACAAGGTAAAAGAAACCAGATATAATCCTTTTCTTTTATTGCTAACTTTTTAAAATTTGAAGTATTGTGAAAATGAACTGAAACTGAAGTTATTAGTTTAATACTGTCATTTCAGCCTTTGAAGTGTGAATTTGGTTTTTTGTTTGGTGTATAAAAATAAAAAAATGTAAGTGTATAAAAAATACTTATTTTTAATTAGTTGTTTATTCTCATTATAACAAAACATGCTATGCATTGCTATGTTAAGTTCATTATAACAAAACATGCTATGTATTGTTATAATGAGTAAAACTTGGCATCATATTTATTTATAAATTCATCTATCTATGAATTCTGCTTGTTTAGGCTTCTACTAAATATTTCATTTTGGTAGAAGAACATACAGAACATAACTAGAATTAAATTGGAAAGACATTTTTAACACCGGAGTAGATAAATTAACCCAACTTCACTGCCTGTAACTGGTGTGCTTCTTCTCCAGTGAAAGCAGAGGATTTTGCAAACATTTTCAAATCTAATGTGGTTCTTCTTCAGGCACTATGGGATTCTCTATTCAAATTTGAATTTCCAGTTGAGAATTAACCATTGGTTTGGAAAATCTTTCTGGAATGTTGTCATGTGTGACCAATGGTGTCATTATGGACCTGCGCATTATCACTATGGTGTTACTTTAGAGTTTTATTGAGGAAGGCCTCCCATACTGTTGATAGCATCATTTCTTGTTTGAAGTTAATGCAGTGCTGATTCCTGAGGGTGTTAAGGTATATGTATATGGCCTCTAGCCGTTCGAAATGTTCTGTGCAGAATGTGGTGTGAATAATTCTGGCTAGAGAGAATAGAGGCTCTATTTCTGGGTCAGAGGAGTATACCACTAGGGCGGTGTTGTTTCTATGATGTAGGGTGTCTGCTTTGTGTTCCTTGATCCTAGTTTCTAAGTTGCATTTAGTGGATCCAATGTAAATTATTTCGCTGTTATCTCTATGGTTGATGATGGGCGGTGCGCTACAATATTCGATTGGCTTAAGAACAGAAAAGATGCTCCAGATACCAACAGACTTCCAGGGGTACACTCCGTGCCCATCATTGACACCATTGGTCACATGTGACAACGTTCCAGAAAGATTTTCCAAACCAACTGTTAATTCTCGACTGGAAATTCAAATTCGAATAGAGAATTTTATAGTGTCTGAAGAAGAACCACATTAGGTTCAAAAACAAATTTGCAAAAAAAAAAACACATTTGCAAAGTCTTCTGCTTTCATTGGAGAAGAAACACACCAGTTACAGGCAGTGAAGTTGGGTTAATAACTACAATTATGCTCTGTATGAAATAAATACAACCTCACTATAAACTGGAACTGTAGAGTTGCAAATCACACCTAAATTCAAACTTTCCAGCAAATAAAAGTCATAAATTATAAAGATTGAATGTTTTCGGCCACTAAATTTATTGGCCTTCTTCAGGAAATAAACTGAAAAAAACCGTTCTATAANCATTTGCAAAGTCTTCTGCTTTCATTGGAGAAGAAACACACCAGTTACAGGCAGTGAAGTTGGGTTAATAACTACAATTATGCTCTGTATGAAATAAATACAACCTCACTATAAACTGGAACTGTAGAGTTGCAAATCACACCTAAATTCAAACTTTCCAACAAATAAAAGTCATAAATTATAAAGATTGAATGTTTTCGGCCACTAAATTTATTGGCCTTCTTCAGGAAATAAACTGAAAAAAACCGTTCTATAAATAGAACATAGCTGCCTTTTGTATTTCCTGAGAAAGCCAATAAATCTAGTGGCCGAAAACGTTCAATCTTTATAATTTATGACTTATTTGCTGGAAAGTTTGAATTTAGGTGTGATTTGTGGCTCTGTATGATGTTAGTTTATATTAAAGAATGCTCAAAAGGAACTGGAAAGGTTTTAAAAGTACGGGAAATTAAATATTTGGTAGCCTTAAATGCTATGTATTTACAGTACCTTAATTGATATGTGCTATGTGATGCATAAAATTCAGAATAAAATTCAAAATATCAAAAAAGGATTTCTGAAATTTAGCAAAGCACGATATAAACATAGATAATATGGCAACTTCATTTTTAAAAATAACATGGCCAGTAAAGCATAAATAAAAATTTTGGTTTTTCAAAAATTACATAGCTGTCACATAGCACATTTTGAATGCCGCCTCCACATATTGAAGATAAAAAAAAACATCTATAACAGGGGTGGCCAAGCTTCTTGATAGTCCGAGCCATTTTTCAAAATTTGAAATTTTTCGCAAGCCGCAATTAAATACGTGTTTAATAAATATATGTTCTCAGCGAATAAGGTGTGNTCTTTCATATTTGTTGTTAGTAATTTAAAAGACATTTTGAAACACATACGGAACAATAATAATTTTTTAAAATATAATAACACAAAAATGAAAAGGGAACTCGGGTACATTTATCGAGAGCCACAAATAATCATTCAAAGAGCCGCATGCGACTCGCGAGCCGCAGGTTGGCCACCCCTGATCTATAATTTCTGAAAAAATTTCTTAAATGTTTTTAAGTCTAAATCTGTATTATTTACATTTACTTTTAATAATACTTTTTAAAAATTAAAATTGAGTTGGTTAAATGTTATAATTGACATTAGAATTAAGTTGTAAACATAAAATAATTCAAATAAAATATTATAAAAAAATATATCTTATTAGTATTATTATAAAAGATAAATAATTTTTAATATGGTACTTTTGTTAAGGATAAAAATTATTTTAATTTTTAAACATTGAAATGTAATATTTAAATAATTATCATATGAAAGCAATGTTATCTATTGATTAATGATAATTGATGATAATTTTCAGAAATATATTCAATTTAATGATGTTTGGAGGCTATACAGAAGTATTTGCATATGGACAAGATATTGAAAAAGGTGATGGACAAATATTAGATTCATCATCTAATAATGAAAGATATCTGTCTGAGAGTAAATCTCAATTATTTGGTGGTTTTAAAACATGGCCAGATATTAGAGAAGATTTCATTTTGTTAGCTGAATGCTCAGAAACTTTTGGTCCAGTTCCTATTGTAAGTATTCTATAGTTATATATTTTTACATTTTATTTATGAACAAATTGAGCTAAACTGTGATTTTACAATACTGTAAGGATTTAATTTGTTTATTAATAACAGTTATCTTACTGGACTAAAATTAATTTATTGAATAAGACATTTTAAAAATTGTACTAGTGTTAAAAATAATTTAAAATGAAGCATAATGTGCCTCATGTTATTGTGCCTGATTTTATTTGTAAAAGGAAGTATTGAAAATTAAATATATGAACATTTCAATAATGTTTTAATGATGATTTTTGCAAAAGTGATATATCAATTACCAGCCTGACATTTATTGACTCTATTCCAACTTTCAACAAAATTTTTCTGATTTGTGGGGAGGAAAAATGTTTGTCTATCTAACAAGCTATTATTGTGACATTGTCACAATTCTGGGTTGCAATTTTTAATCATATTTTAAATTTATTTCATTTAAAATATATGTTCTCCATCTCAAATTAGTAGTGACTTACCCCTGTACATCATATTTTTCCATTAGCAATGCTGTTGTGCTGGTCATCTATCTAACTCTTTTCAGGAAAAAATTTTTTAATTGAAATAATGTGACTTCCAGTTTGCATCAGATGTTCATATATAGTTAATTGGGGCCTCCTGCCCCTAAGCTTTCCATATATGGTCTTACATTTTATTTATCTAACACTGTTCTTGAGATTAATTAATTTAAAGAAAGACATAGATGGACGACAATGGGAATTTATAGGTCTACAATTTTTTCAAATTATATCCAATAAAAATAAATAATTAATGTGATCAATCAATAAAGTATTACTGTAATTCTATTACTGTATTGTTGAAGTAAACAGCACATTAATATTTTGAATATTTAAATATATTTATCAAACTGGAATATCACATTCAACATAAATAAACAATCTTGACTATACCTACATTTATCTAATGATTTTGAGTTAATTTTTAAATGTTCCTCAATATTGAAGAAAAAAGAACATAAATACATGTATTTGTTTCAATTATTTAAATACATATATGAATAACATATATGTATTTATGCAAACCAGATACATAAATTAACATTAAAATATAATGAAATATGTAAAACATTACTTTCAAGTGTGATACTACTATTAAAACACATTACACTAATAAACTACTAATTTATCAAGTCAAAAGTATTGTGTGCATTGAAAAGAGTTTATTTTTATTTAAAACTTTTAGGCATTTAAGATGCTGGTCGCATATTTTTTGTTAATGAACATTTTTCTTGAGCCCTTGTAAATTTATAGGATCTTCACAAATTTTGCTAATCTTTTATCTGACCTGTCTGATAACTTTGGCTTCATTCCATTGCACTATGTTGTTCTCTTCCATGGTAAAAGCTGATAAAGCAATAATTATTTTCTTTTTGTTGTTGTCATATTGATGTTCTTTTAAACATATTCCTAGATGTCTAGATGTACAATAGATCCAACATACTGTGCACTTTAGAACCTATTATCTTAAACCAGTAATTGATACACTCTAGATATCTTGATTCCAATAATGGTTGTTTAAAATGACCAAAAATGCTTGTGCTCTAAGTTAAATTATACTGTTGGAATTAACATTGTATGTATTTGTAGTATATTTCTGGATATCTTTGAATTTATATAGCTGTATTCCTAAGAAGGTTGTATATTGTTGGATTTATTTTATACACTAGGTTAACTTTTCTTTTCTTGGCAATTTGTTGATATATCATGCAGAATCCCTTATCATAATTTATTGTTTAGAACTTATGAGCCATTGAGTGCTTGTTGTATGTCATGGACCAACTGTAGCAGGGAGTTGCATGTTTGTTAATTAATTGTCCTATTGTATTTTTAGAGTAACTGTGCATTTCAGTGATGTCTAATGTAGTAAAATTCTCTTAATCTGTTTTTGATGTTTGTATGGTGGAAATATACTCATCTCATAAGAGCACTGAAGCAAATTTTTCTATATCCCATGGAATTACATGAATAAGTGGGAATATATAACAGGTAGGTTTTTATAAATGCTTTTGCATACATACCTATCATACAATGTAATGTCTATATCCTGAAAATGTACCTTTGAAGTTGCTTTCCTACTCAAGTTTAAGTTTGTAGTTTTCGTTAATCTTTGCATCAAAGTACCTCTTGTAAACAATATTTGGCTGCTAAACATTGGAATGTTTCTGCTATTCAAGTGTTTTATCACCAAATCAAAGCGTAACCCATTCAGGAGATACTAGAGATACGTCTCTGTTTTGTTTAAATGTGTTATCAAATGTAAAAAAAAGGGGAAAGTAACTCATTAGGTTGGTGAGCTCCAAAATCTGTTTTCTAAACTTGCTTGCTTATAGAATTGTACAGAGGAGCAAATTCCCTAAAGCATGAAAAACAGAGATAAAGTTTAACTGAGAGGTAAAATCTCAAAGTATAATACAGTCCTGTATTTATTCATTATCTGTCAACAATATATCACTAGGTACTTGGCATCTTCAACACCTATCTACTACACTCCTTTGTTAAAGTTTCTCCCTGTGTTTGTGCTTTAAGACAATAATAGTTAAAAACCATTTTTAAAACTGCAAAAATCAGGATTAGACATTTTCAAAAGTTTTCTTTGCATTACTTCTTTTTTGGAAAATCAACAGTTCTTGTTTTCATCTATAGATTAATTAAATAACAAAAATAAAAATTGCATAATATGTAGAACTTAATAATTCTAAGAAACTGTAAAATTTAGTGAGAAATTATCATCTTATACTTTTTGAAAAATTCCCTGTAATGTATCTTTTATAATTAGGATGTTAATTGATAGATAATTTTTTTCTAGCTACTTTCTATATAGATTTTATTTTTATTGTATTGGAGCTGATAAAATTTATGTAAAATATTATTGATCACTGAGCCTGTTATAATGCCAAAAATTAGAACTCTTTCATTGGCTAAAAACTTCACAAGAAAAAATTATAATCTATAATAGCCTATTATAAAAATAATCATTATTTTCATAATTTTTAAAATTAAATTTTTGAATTGATTTTGTTGTATAAAGTATAAATATATTTATAATATGTATTATTTTAGATGACAATACCAAAGAAAGTAGAAAATATTGATTTGAATGAATTTACTGTAAAGCTTTTGTCTGCTGATTATCAAGGACTAGGATGGTAAATATCTTTACTTGAAATATTCTGCCCAAAAAAAAATCATCTAATTTTTTTAGGCAGATGACATACGCTTAAAATAAAATTTAAAGTTTTTCTTAATACCTTGAGAAATAAAATAAATTAAATAAAATGATAAACCTTAATGTAAGGAAAGACAGCATAATATTTTTCTTTAGATGGAAATTTATCTTTTTTCAACTACAAATTATTTCAGAATTACATATGAAAGCAAAAGTCAGTTTTCAATTTATTTCTTGTAAACCTTAATTAGGAATATAGTTTACAATTAACTACTAGCAATATCTTATAAATCTAATTTAAAAGTTCAAAGAAATTGAAAAATGTTTTTCATATTTCATTTATTTTTTGAATGAATTTCAAAAATGATTATTATCCCTTTGCATATCTGTTATTTTTAGTGTTTAGTTTATTTATTTCTTTGACTGAAAAACAGTATTTTCTGTTATTAAGATAAATAGAAGTTTTTGAAATTTAATTATATTGTTTGCTTTTAAAACAGTGGTGAAGGAATTCCTGTTAGAGATACACAGCTATTAAAACCAGATGCTATGAAGGATACTCATGCATTAGTAAGTCAATATGTTTATAAAAATTTTAATATAATATTTACAGTAAAACCTAGTTATTTTGAAACTCAAGGGACCAAAAAAAAAAAAAAAAAACACAACTTCAAATTATCTGAACTTTTTCAAATCAGTTTTCTATAATTCTAAATAATATGACATTTCCTCATATAATTTCACCTGTTTGTTTACAAATGGGTTAATATTACAAGTTATTACTTAGCTTAAATTACTATTTCAAAAAACTGTCAGTTGATGTGTATTTAATGAAAGCAATGAAAATGTAACCAAATTACATTCAAAACAAGACCTGAAAATAACACATGAAAGAGGATTAACTGATCAAAAAAGAATTACCATGAATCCTCTACAGTCCACTTATCGTAACTTGTCACCTACTGTAAACAAAGATTTTGTCGTATTAATCCGCCGGAGATTTTCATTGGTCAAATCACAATCAGAAGTAGCTAGACACATGTTGACTAGTTAAGCCCCTTTCTCTGCATGTGTTAAAATAGGTCAGAGTGGTCACAATTTAAAAATTAGCAAGATAATACTTAGAAAACTTATTATAGGTTACTTTAACATTTTTATGTAGCTGTTTGCATTATTTTCATCATTTAGTTTGTCAAAAATTATTATTAAATATATATTAAGACTTACACAAAACATATTTATAATTGTGTAGTTGAACATACTTCAGAATTTTTATCTACACAACTATTTTATTAAATAGATGGTGTAAGGAACCAAGTCCGAGCTTTATTTTTATTTTACTTTTATTTTGCTTTTATTATATTTTTGTTTGGGGCTTATGTTTAGTTAGGACGAAGGTTTCCTCACCCATCACTCCAGAACGTTCAAAACGAGAAGATAAGAGATTAACCAACTCACCGACGACGAAACGACAGTGCCATAGCTAGCATTCGCACTCACGTGCACGCCCGAGCGGCAGAATTGTAAGTCCGCACTGAAGGGGGGACATCCCAATAGACTTTCTAGGAACTTGTGTAACCTTCAACTAAACATCCCGATAATTGTTAAAGAAATGCTGTAAAAGGTTAACAAAGTATTGTCGAGAAATAAGCTACCAGATAACGAAGAGAAAACAATGTTACGTGTAGATATGTAAATGAGGGGAGTGGCTACAGTAGAACTGTGACGTCACCTCATACTATAAGTACAGTAGCTCAAGTGAAGACAGAAGAGGTGAGCTCCTGAACCGAAAGCGTTGGTCTGCTGGTAGCAGTGAATAGGTGTCGAATAGGAAATCCTAGTAGGAGATTGAAGGTTCGATTTTGGTGATTTGGAAATAGGAAAGTCTTGAGTAGAAGAAAAGGTTCCGAGTATTAATTGAGGTGACGGTTAGGATTGATAGTTATAAGAGAATTTGTATCTAAGTTAAGAATTGGATTTTGTTTTGTCGGAATTCCAAGGGGAATAGTTCTAAGTTAGAATAAGACTTAAGTTTGTTGGGTTGATTGTGATTTGATTTTTTTATTTAATAAATTTGTTGTTTGTTTATAAAACTTGTACATAGTATTTGTTAGACTTGATTAAACATTTATTATTGAGAATTTTTTTGTGACTAACTTTGTCCTTAATTTATTTCGGTGCACGCTAAAAGTCCAGGCCTGGCAACTAATAAACGCGAACCCACGTAAAGTACCCGTTAGGTCCTGGCTCTTTAAGAAAAATTCGTTGTAGAGCAACAAACTAAATATAGTACTTTACAATATAAAACAAAACAAAAAACAAATTCTCTGGCAATCCTTAAAAATCATACTCAAACCTCTAAAGGAAAATGTTATGGTAATGTATGAATTTATTTGTGATATTTATATAATTAATTTTTTAAAATAATTAGTGTAAACTTACTTTATTAATCATCTGTATCAGAAGATAGTTGCTCAAATTAATCATTTATATCACTTTTGTCACTACTTGTGTTCGACTACATAATCAGTTTTTCTACAACAGTTTCCGAAATCTCACCAAGTTCCCACATTTGTTGTTGTTCTTTTTCTATATGTTTGATACATTTTCTCCATCTTTCTTCAGTTATTTGTTCAACAACACACGGTTTGAAATAATGATAGTTATTGTAATGAATGGAAAATGAAACCAAGACATTATAATGCCCATGACTGGAAAAAGTTTATTTTTAGTGATTCAGAGTGTGCAAATATTCATTAAAATAACAATTTAGCAAGTATGAAATAATTACATTTATTACATTCATTGCTAAGTGACTAGTATTTCATTAATGATTTTATGAATAACAAAGAACTATTTTCTGCGGATGAATGAGATGCAACACGGTTTCTAATTGATGGGCATGGGTTTAAGCCAATAAACAATGGGAGGTGTGTCTTAGTTTGTTTACAGTAGGTGCTAAGTTAGGATAAATAGACTATAGATAAACTAGAGGATCAATGGCTAGTTCTATGAAGAATTCACTGTCTTGAGTTTGAGATGATGAAAATCACTTTATCTGATGAAAACAAATGCTATTAATAGCTAAGCTACAGTATGCACTCTATCATGAATATTTATGTGTGTTTAATGGACCTTAAAATTATTGAAACAATAGATTTTTGCAAAAAATTTCCAAAATAATTAATTGCCATACAAATTTCTTTCATAAAAATAAAAAAATTATCTATTAATCAGCAATATGTACAATGTCCAAATGATCTTGAACAGACATCCAATAAATCAACAATGTATAATTGGTGAAATCAAAACTGCCATTTGAGCAAGGAAACTTTCTTATAAACACATAATATAATGGAAGATTCTGAATTAATTAATTAAACAATATTTTTTCAGGTCACTGGACCAGATAATGACTTTAAAATTCATTGTACGTGTATTTCAAATTATCTGAATTAAAATATATGCAAAATCCTATTCTCTTTGCCGGGGGCTAGACTTGTCTTTGAATTACACGATACTTCAAATTATCTGATATTGAATTAATGAGGTTTTACTGTACTGAAAAAATATATAAAATTTATCATTAATTATTTACTATGTATAAACATTTTCTTCATGAGCTATGTTTTTGCATAAATAAAACAAAGTGAAATGAATTTTAAAATATAAATGAAAATAAATAATTTTCAAAAATTATCAATGTATTTCTAAATTTATTTATGCTATTAGAAGTTACATACTATGTAAAAACATATAATACATATAAGTGGTTCTGCGAATTGAAAATTATATGAGAAAATGCTAGTTAAATATGTTTATTACATTTTTAGGTATAAAAAAAGAGATTTATAAACCATATATAATAATAATAATAATATTTTGCTATTTTATTTTAATTTAATAAAATGATTTTAGATAAACTATTTTGTTCTGTTGGATTCCCAAGCAAGAGGTTTTGTAAGACCAATATGTATAGCCTATGTAACTTGTGATAAACAGTAAGTGTTTTAATTTTCATTAGGAAGTATTTTATTCTTTTATATAAAATATAAATATTTCACTTTAAATTTGTTTGTAATTAATTCAAAGTTTTAAGTGTAAAATAATTTTCTAATGTAGAGTTCATTTTCAGTAAATTGATACAGAATACCAATCTTTTACAAAATGCAATAATTCAGGTAATTAGTATTTAATTAATTTTTAAAATAATTATGAATACATGCTAAACCATACAAAAATTGTTATATTTTATTTGAAAATAAAATGTAAAAAAACTCATTTTATTATTATAATATATTTTTCATAATGATTTATTGTTGAAATAACAGAATGTTTGTAGTTCATATATGCTATTTCATTATTAAATTCATATGACAAAGCTATTTGCAATTGTATGGATCTAAAAATAAAAATGAATGAATTATTAAATATTACATGATTTATTTAATTTTAACAGATAACAAACAATGTTTAAAAATATATTGCAAAAAATTTCTGATACAATATTGATATAACTTAATAGTATTCCTTTAAATAAAATTTTGAAATACACACTAAGTTTTAAATGTACAAAAGAAGTGTTGTATGATTTTTATTACTTGTATTGTTAACATAATAAAAAATAAATAAAACTTTTTAATATAATTATTTTTCCTGTTGTAAAAAATATCTAGTAAATTAATAATAATAATAATTGTTTTATTGTACTAAAGGCAAGTTTTGTTACAGGGGAGATACTAGTTAATAGTTTTTTTTTTTTTTTTTTAATTTGCACATAATTTTACATAATTTCAAAGGAATTACAATATGTATTAATTAAATTGAATTTTAAATTTTTATAGCAAATAATTCACAATTTACATTAATTTAGTATCAATCAATTGTTCTTAAAGCATTGATTGATTTACAATATATAATAATAATGTTTAACTTGAAATATTTGAAATGATATTACATCTAAGTAAATCAGTATTCTTTTTTATCGATTTATTCATTAGTTAATCTAAAAAAGTTATTTATACTGTACACTTGAAATTTTGATAATTTATTAAATTTTACCCAATAATCTTGAGTTTGATATAATTGTAATATCTCAATAATTCTATAAGATTGACATATTTCAGAAAATTTTTCAGTCCTTTAGAAGGTGAATGATTAATGAATTACATCAGTAACACTGTTCTATTGAGAAATTGATATAAACATTTTTTACAAACCATGAAAATTTGTATAGTCTTAGTTATATTAATAATCTTTTTATATTTATTCCTATATTTGTTATTATATTAGATTCTTCAGGAATGGTTAGAATGTTTAAATATCATGGGTGATAAACTGATTGTGCTAGAAATGTTTGGTCATTAATTATTGATCGGGAAAATGTTGACTTCATCAATAAAGTAAATTCGTATTTCCAATCTTTTTCTGAATTCTCAAACGATCTGTATGAGATACCAAAGAATTTTAGAATATTATTAAATTTTAGCTGCCAGATGTTTGTCATTTTTCATCCATTTTTATCACCCTGTTTTAACATAATCTAAGAATTTGATATTTTCATTATTGTAATGTTTCAATCTGTAGTAAAATTTAATTAGTCTTTTTAAATAAAAAGGAGAAATCTGGTATCTGTTTATTTTACACTGGAGTGCATATCCAGGTACAGTCCTTTTAACTTTAAACAATCTGCATATAAAAGTTATGTGAAATCTCTCTAAATTGTATAGAAAGTTTAAACCCCATATTGGGCTAGCATAATATAGTGATGGAATTATTAATTAAGGTATTATATAACTTCATATATAGTTTTATGTTGGAAATTTTTAATATAGAACATAAGTATAAATATATAAGATTATCTATTAATATTTTTATTTTAGCACTTAATTTATTCACATGCTGTTGACAATTTCCATTTCTAGTAAATGTTACTCCTAAATAATTTTTTCCATTTACCAATGTTAAAGGTTGGCCATTTAAATAAATTGACATCTCTGATATTTTGATGTTGTTTCTAAATATCATAATTTTAGTTTTCACCATGTTAATTGTCGAGTGCAGGAAGGAGTGAGTCGAGTAAGGAGAACCAGATCATCATCATGTAAAATATTTTTATATATTTTATCAGAGAATTGAATTCCATCTGTTTCATTGAGAAATACCTATCCATTTCCAGCATATAAAAATTAAATAGGTATAGAGATATAGGATCTCCACACCTTAATCATTTACTCTTATTCCATATCCTAATCATGTACTAGATTAAGAACTAGTCAGGAAATATTTGATTACCATGTATTATATTAACTCTATATTCAGAAAAAAGTTTCAAAGTTGTACTAGAAAATTTTCTTTCAAAACTTTTCTGCTTTAATTTATTGGCCAAAGTCTGAACATGTTGATTCAAATGCTTTTAATATATCAACAAATGCAACATATATTTTCTTATGTTTTTTAAGTAAATGAAGTTGTACTGTTGATAACAGAAAAAATATTGACATCTCAGTGCCTGTATTTTTAAAATGTATGCAAATTCAAATTTAGAAGTTAAATTTTCTTCAGTTAGCCATTTTTAAAACATTTTCTGACAGTTGATAATAATGCAATTGGTCAGTTAGTTACCAAGGGTTTTTATCTACCAAGGGTTTTTTGTATATCATGAATAATTTAGCTAAATTCCAAGAGAGTGGGAAATTTTGAGAAACATAGGGGGAGTTAAATAAATCAAGTAAGATTTGTTTTCCAACAATGGTAATGACTTTAAAAATTTAACTGAAATTAGATCTGCACTTGGTGATGAATTAAGTCTCATTTTATTTATTGAATCATTTATTTCTTCAAGACTAAAGGAGAAATCCAAATTGTCATTATTTAAATTCTGCATTTTGATAGCAAACAGAATCACCAAATTAGAGAATTGTCCATAGAAAAATAGATCAAGATGCAAAATCAATATATATCTTCTCAGCTGTGTTTTTCTTTCAGAAGGCTTGTATGGTATTTCAGAAAAATTATCATTTTGTTTTATAGATAATTGTTGCTCTAAATTTTTGAAATATCTTGTTTTCTTAGCTTTTATTAAATTAAAGTACATTATTTTACTTTTCCTATAAAATTTATAAAGTTTTCTTATGTTGAATCTTTCCTAAATTGCATTAAAGCTTTATTTTTCTTTTGTTTCAGTGTATAACGACTAAGATCATACCATGGATTCTTAAAACGAGATGGTTTCTCTTCTCTTTCCATTCTTATTCTGATTAATTCTTTCATAGTTCTTTCTAGTTGTAGATATATCTACAACTAGAGAGAATTATGTATAATTTATTAAAATTATTAACTGTAGGATATGAGACTAAAGAACTATGTATAATTTTAATAAATTATACATAGTTCTTTAGTCTCATATCCTACAGTTAGATAATACATTAGTCTCTCTGGTTAATCAGCTGAATTAATCAATGCTATCTTTAACAATAGACGAAGTTTATGCTAACGTTTTTGACCCAATTATTAGGCCATTTTTAGACATGAACAGTTGAAAGTGGAATGCAGATGTCAAAAGGGATAAACTAGAAAAATTTAATTTCAAATTTACTATTTTATGTTTTATAAAGAAAAATTCTAGATATGGTTTTTTTTTCTTTTTTCAAAAGTAACAAACATTAGTTTTGAAAACAGTAAAATATAAAATGAATCTTGTTGTAAATAATATAGTATGATAAACACTAATCTAAATGGTACTAATAGTTTTTAATGGAGAAAAATATTAATTTATCAAATACTTTTACTTTACTGCCATCAAATGCATATTTAAGCTAGTAACATGAATTATGAATAATTTTTTTATTTATATTACAAAATAAAAATGTTGATCTTATCAAGAGTTATTCATTTATTATGTATAGGTTTAAAACAAACAATGATGCAAAGTAGTTTTGGCAAAAAATAAAAAATTGATATATTTAAAGGTATATTGCAAACTATCAGACCAATGTGTACATTTCAATTAAATGTTATAAATTATTTTTTAAAATAATTTATAACATTTAATTAGAGATTAATGACTAAAATCTTAATTTATTCAACATCTTAGATATATGTTGTTTAAAAGTTTTTTTTGGAAAATTTTAAATATTAACTATTTCTCATATAGTGTAAGTCTTTAATAATAAAAAAAGAATGATTTTTATTATTAAAGTGATATTTAAAATTAACAGTTAATTTATATATTATTATTAGGCAGCAACTGCTTTCAAGCAGAATAATAGAAAATTGTTTCTGTATGAATTAAGTAATCTTTTAGAAGATCTTGAATATACTAAATCAGGTAAAATTTTTAATATTATTAAGTATAATCTATAATAAGTGTGAATATAATAATAATAATAATAATAATAACTCTCCCATGGTCACCACCTGGTTGTGGTGGGAGAGCCCAGTAATTTTACTGATCCATAGAGCAATGCAGGTTGGAGCACAAGCTTCTTGTAGGGACACCCATGCCAGTAAGGTCTTTGGGGAGAAATGAAGCTAAGAGTGACCACACCCATATTCTGTGGAGATATTTACCATGGTAGTAACCAAGTCTAAGTGTGATACTGGCTCAGACATTGCCTGGATTAACAAGGTTCGTGTTTGTGGGTTAGGCAGAGGCTTACGTTCAAATAATAGGTCTGTCTCCCTTGGTTACTGGTGGCAAAAGCAGCACAGGCTCATTTGTATAATTTTGTAATTAAAATTGTGAAGGAAGATGTAACTAACAAGTAAGAAGTAATCAACTAACTGAGAATTTGTAAGGAAACAACTAAAAATGCAAATATTTTCAGCTTATCTACAAAATGTTTATCTTAATATTTGTAATTGTTTAGTCCCTCAGTAACAGGGTTTGCCCTTTATGTTAATAAAGTTGATGATTATATATGTTTAAAATAATATCCCTAGCTTGACTGTGCAACATTTTATTTTGTGTACATACGACAGCATTACGTTTTTCTATTTTTGCCAACAGAATTGAAACAAAGATGACATCATTACCATTTTTAGTTTTTTACATTCCACTATTGTCTTCTAAGTCAAAAGTTTTTAATAATAAATTTAATTGTAAACAAATGTTACTGTAATTAATGTAAAATGAATTTTTACACCAATTTATATTCAATTACAGTTATACATAAGAAATTATGGTAATTATTTGTAATTTAGTTAGAAATCATAATTTACTGTAAAGTTGAATGTTGTTATATTAAATTTAAATCTTAATATTGTTAAATTTAATTGTTCAGTCTCAAATTTAAAATACTTTTCTTAGTTTATTATTATTATTATAATAGTATTTCAAATTTTAATATAATGAATAACTTTAATATAAATTGAATTACCAAAACATTTATAATTTAATATTTATTGTTTAAGATGATGTAAAAAATAGTTGGAAAGATTCTTGATGAATAGTTGATCTCTTTAAGGCTACGCACAAAATTAGTTGATACTATTGCTTTCAATCAGGGCCCTCAAGAGAGCAGAGAGCTGTCAGTGCAAAGACCATTTTGCTGCCCCTTTCAGAGACCCTGCTTATACAAATAACATAATGATATTGAAGTAGAAGTAGAAAAACAATTTGGTATAAATGTTAGCCAGTGGTCAAAGTTGTTTCATTATTTGGAAAAAGAATAGAGAGAGTTTTTTTAATTTTTTCTTCTGATGCAAATTGGAGGGAAAGCTCATTGGTCCTGGGATGGTGCCCTACTGAGTCTCCTTTTCATAGGGCCTGCTTTCAACTGTCAGATGAGATTTTTGTAACTATATGGTTATTTTCATTTGACAATCTTGTAATGTTATGGCTTATGGTATCACACATACCCAAGCTATAAAGAACCAATAAACATTTCTCTAACCATCTATAAATTATTGCTTAGAAGAATGTTTGTTTACAAAACGGACAAAAATCAATAGTTACAATGTGTTGCTTTTAGCTTCATGCTACAACTTCTTGTGGGATCTTTATTGACAAAGAATTAATTAATGAGTGATATATATATNATTATTTCAATTAAATATATCCACAAAATAGTGTGTTGGAGAAAGTATTAAGCTGTCTTTTAATCTCTCTTTGATAGTGGTATAAGAGAGATTATTATATTACGTTATCGTCCATGCAGAATAATAATGTTTTGAATGATTGTAACATATTACCTTCATTCACTGATATCTTTAATTATTTGATATTGTTGATAAATTTTTTGTGTGATATTACAAAGTTATATAATTATATACTGGAAGTGTATATATATATAACCTTCTAATATCTTATAAATGCATGTAACATCCAAATAAAAATATGGATATTAAATGCTTAATTACTTTTTCAGTATTATACATTTTTTCCAACCTCTGTGTTTTGTTGACTTAACTTGCTTTCATGAATAGTAAACTTAAATATTCTCATTTAAAAGATATCCATGTAAAAAATGTATTGAAATTAGTTACTTTTAATTTTAATGATAGAATATATTGGAGAACTACCTTGTGAAGCTTCATGTGCAAAACTTGAATTATTAGAATCTACACAAAGAGAAGTCCTTCAAGCTTACAGTAGTATTTGTCATTTGGAGGTAAGAAATTATTTAACAAAATTTTAAAATTTTATGTATGATGATCAATTGACTTTTGATTTAGTTTTTATCATTTACTTTTCTAATTTATTTTTCTAATTTTGTTTATTTTTGAAATTTAACTTGTGCTACATTCTAATCAACTCTAAGATTTTACTTAAAGTTGAATAGAATAATCAGTTAAAGGTTAACGTATAATCTTATCTGTCCTACTGTAATCATTGTGCACAGATTACCAACTTCTTATATAAGTCCATAATTTCTTTTAGTAATATATTGAACATCATTTTATCCTAAATGACTTTTTATATCAATTAATTTGTAATATTATTATATGGCAGTTATTTACTACAATAGCCATAAAGTCACCTTATTATGTAACACTTGGTCAATTAATTTGCTGATGTATATAAATTTATCATAATCAATTTTCTGATTAATTATTAATCAACTCATAGATTTTTCAATAGAATCATTATTCAATAAATCTCTATCTATGATTTATTAAATAGAAATAAATTATATTAAAAATTAATTTTACAATGTGTTCAGAATGAACTGTTTTTTCTTTTGAATTGCTTCTCTTAATATTTTCAGAGGAAAGGGAGTTAATGAATAGAAAATTATCATATATATTTGTTAATTTTAACAAATAACAATTGCTAAAATTTATAATTGAATATTATAATTGAAAACTACATACATTTCATAACTATTTCTGACAGTTATAAAATGCCAGTATTTTAGAATTATGATGTTGGTTGATGGATTTGTTAGATGTTTTTATTTATAATTATAGTCAGATTTAGGATTGAGTTGAGATAAAAATCAATAAATAGTTAAATAATCTATTACTTTATATAAATAGCTATGCATTTTAATTCATTCAATGGCAAGTATTTATTTTTTTCTGCATCAACAGGATATTTGAATAATATATTGCTGTAGATTTTTTATTTTAATAAAATATAGTTTAATACTAATTTTTATAGTTTATAATAGTATAATGTGTTAAAAAGTTAAAGGTTTACTAATTGTAATTATGTATAAAAACTATAATTTAAGAACATATAAATATTTTTATTAATTAATTATAGATAATTAAGTTTAGAATATTTAAATAAATATTATCTATAGGTATTATTTCATTTTAAGTGAAGGTTGATAAGAAGATAGAAGAAGCATGTACAAAGTTTTCTCAGCATTTGAAATCATTATCATATAAGAATTGCTTACATTTTCAAATACTTGATGTCATCAATCAATGTGATATTCCAGACAAGCTATATGAGGTGAATGAAAATAAATAATTTTTAACAAATAAAATAAATTGATTAGTTTAGTTAAAAATAGTTTTAAAAAACCACTGTTTTTTAAAAATGTTGTATAATTATCACTCAATTAAGAATGATAAGAATGACTTATAAAAAGTTGATTGCATTACTATTAAATATAAAAATCAAATAATTATTTTATGTTTAAAATGTGTGTGTGTATTGCTAANTTTAAATAAAAGTTTTAGGTTAGTAGCGACATCTGTTCAAACTTCATACGACATAAAATTTAAACAGATGTAGCTACTGGTTGCTGAGATATAGCTTGTCCTGGAATTTAATTGCCGCACTGTGTATATATTTCTTCCAGTATATATATATATATATATATGTTTTTTAATAAAAATTATAGCATTGCTAGCTTAATGTAAAAATGTTATAGGAAAAAAAAAACAAAAAAATTAAGTCCTGTGTAAAAGAAAAGCTGAATTATCATTATATTTTATTTTAAACTAAAAAATAAAGTAAAAAAATAACTGATGCAATTTGATTTATGCTTCTGCAAAGGTGAAGCCTAATGAATATAAACTACATAATTTTAGTCTTAGGTCCTCTTCTGCCAAGTGACATGCTGGGCAATCAGCTGTGTCCAGAGAGTGGGGTCAGCTGCAATTGTTTCAGCAACATTCCACAGAATGCTAACCTTCTGTAGATCTTTGAATGTAGAACAGGTTGTTCATGGTCTGTCTTGTTTCCTTTTTTCACTGTGTGGTTTCCATTGCAAGGCTACTTTTAGTAAGTGTTCCTCTGGGAGATGAATTACATGCCCTGCAAAACACATTCTATGCTCTGTAACAATGGCCTGATGTTTGTGTGGCACTTCTGAGAACTTCCTCCTTTGTGATACAGTCATGATATGTAATTCCAAGTATCCTTCAAAGAAAACATTTATGGAATACGTTGAATTTCTGAGCAATTTTCTTTGTACCTTTCCATTTTTCACAGTCATAATTGCAGTTGGAATGACAGTGGTGGTGTAGAGGCATATCTTAATTGCTGTACTGATTGCTCAATCTGACTCAATATCAATGTTATCACCAAATCGGCATTTTATCAGCTTCAATGCCTTCATTTTGTGATAACATGGTACCAAGAGAGAAGAACTCCTCCACTTCCATGTTTGACTTCCAATTATAATTTTTACTTTTGTTTGCCTGCTTATGGACATTATTTTCATTTTATCACTACTCAAGGTTTTCCACACTTTCAGCCTCATGCTCAAGGTTGTGGTCATACTCTGCATCTTTTGGTGTGTTTCTGATATCAATGCAATATCATCAGCAAAGTCCAGGTCAGGGAGTTGCGTTTGACCTCTCCATGGAATACCTGCACTAGGGATGGCTATTGCTTGCTTCATTATAAAATCTATGACCAAGAGGAACAGGAATGATGAAAGTGTACAGCCTTGCCTAACACCTGTTTCAATTTTGAATAAATCAGTGCCATAGGTTTGCCATCCCTACTGTAGGCCTGTTTTATTACTATCTAACTGAACATTCATAGCTTCTGTCTTTATATAGCAGTAGACTCCAGTTACAAGTTCTTAAAAATATTAGTATACAGAGGGTGATTTGCTAATTGTGACTCACTTTTTTGCTTAGTTCTTTCATGAAACACTTGTTGATGAATTGTTTTTGTCTGCTTGATGTCTTCTCCATCTCATTGGCTCACAGCACAACATCATTGTTTCCACGATTCAAAGACCTTGCAAGTTTCAATTGATACCAATGACCACTCCTGTTGAATTACTTTCCAAAGACCAATGTTGTAGCTTTACGAAGAAAGAGACATTGCTTCAGGAAGCCAAATCCAAAGAAATCCAGGTCAGGTGCTCTGGTGGGTATATCCTCTGCAGGAATGTGGTTCAGTCCATCTTCAGCCTTCAACAACTGGAGATAGGCAACTGTATATCTATCTGTGTGACTAGATGCTTTGTCATGGTGAAGAGTCACTTTGACTTTTTCTGCAGGATACAGCTTTGGAAACTCACATTCCAAATATGGTTTCAAAATGTTCTCCAGATAGTAATTTTTGGTACTCTGATAAGAGGAAGTGTTTTTGGCCAGTCATTCCTCCAACAATCATAAATTCTTCAGGCTATCTTTTGTGACATTTGACAAGCCATTCTTCTGGCATTTCCTGTCCAGGATGCTCATACAGAATTTTTTGTTCTATTGCAGTAATCAAGGTATATATACACTTCATCTAGAGTGGTCATGTACTTGCTTTTTCATCATCTTCCTCCTACCAGATGCCTCTCATAGAGCTTTTTTGTTCTAGTCTTTTAGTTCTGTTTGTGCACAGATGTGAAGAGATGTGCAGATGCTTCTTTCATGGTATCTACTTGCAGATCTTCATGTATAATAGTGTTAACTGTGAACTGAGATATACACAGACATTTTGCTGTGATCCTCTGGTTAGGTGGATTTTCTTTTCTAATCATTTCCTTAACTTTCCTTATCTTCTCCTTACTCTAACATTTGTGAGCCCTTGGAAATATTGGTTGTAACTCACCAGAAGCCCTTGCTTGTTGCTTTTTCGTTTTGTTACCAAGAACTCTGATAACTATAGACTGGGAAATGTCAATTCCATTTTTCTTGAGGGCTTTTATGACAACACAGGATGAAAGACATTCTTCAGAAAGGAGCTTGATGCGCACATCAACTTTGCTCACAACTGTTGTCTCCATTTTTAGAACAATCAAACTCAAACATTCTTATCAATGTAGAATGCCATAAGATCTAACAATATTCCATAGTGATTTATAATGGACAGTGTCAAAGGCTTTTTTTAAGTCAACAAAGTTTAATTATCAGTAGTTTTTGGAACTCCAGACATTGCTTTATGATATTCCAAAGAACATAATTGTTCCTGTCTGAAGCCAGCATGCTCTTACCTCAAGATTGGTCCAACTGCTCCCCTTAACTGCTGTAAGAGAACTAAATAGAAGACCTTCCCAGGAACTGAAAGAAGCATAATGCCTCTCCAGTTATTACAATCAGCAAGGTTTCCTTTCTTACTACACCTTTTTGCCTGTGCATGCCAAAGTTTTAGACTTTGAATAATGGTCTTTAAAGAGATTAAATGAATGTGCTTTAATTAGAATAAATGTGAAAAGGCTGGCTGAAACAAAGGATGATCAGGTGATAAACCAATAGAATAACTAAAAGAAAACAGTTGATAAATTGAAATTGTATGATGTATTACATGCCAGATGATTTCTCTTTATGTGCCACATTGGGCATGCATGCCATAGGTTTGCCATCCCTACTGTAGGCCTGTTTTATTACTATCTAACTGAATATTCATGTCACACATAAGCAGCTGCATGTCATCACTAGGATTCTCATTTAGTACATTCTGCAACTAATCATAGAATGCATTTTTATCTGTCTCATTAGTATCTTCAATAAGTCCATATGTTTGAATTACAGTAGTATTTACTATGTTATGATTGGAATTCAGTCATTGACAAATTTCCTGCCAATCAACACATGTTGTTTCCTTTGACAGGACAGAATACAAGATATTTTTGTCTGCATAATAGTTTTTCCACTTCCTGTCCATCTTCACTAATTTCAAGGATTTGCATATCATATTTATCAAATTTCCAGAGCTAAGTGCCAGCCTGCCACACTGGTACAGTGTCTGTACATTCCATGTAACGATTTTTGTTATTTTTTGGCACTTGGTATCAAACTCTGTATTAGATGCTTGATATCCTTATAGTTTTGTTCCTGCATCACCATAGAGGAAGAGCAAATAGTGTCATGCTGAGAGTTTTGGTTTCACTGAAAAAAACAATATGCTTATTGTTTCTTTCAGTGATAAGTTTATATGGTTATGGGGTTACTGGCTCCATGTTCAACCCTTCTCCTTTTTTATTTGGACTTCCTGGGACTGGCAATTGTGGAGTTCTGCACTTCTTAAAAGCTGAAACATGCTGAATATAAACTACATAATCGTAAGTTTGCTGTAAAATATTTTAAACTCTGACTTTACAAAATCTTACAAAATTGAAATTGCTTTCTCTCATGAATGTGAGTACCCAGAGTTATCTATCAGATATTTTAATTGTTTGTGATATATTAAGTTTTATAATGATGACAAAATTTTTAAACAAATTCATGATCTAGGAAAGTTTCTCTTGTGAGATTAATTTAGCATTTAATAACAATATGTGACAATACTGAAATTTTAATGTTTCAAATGTTAAGTTGAAAATTATCTTCAATATTCAAATTTTAAAGTAATGATATGATTTAGCTTTGTAATTTTTAGAATTATATTTAGAATTGAATAAATAATAATTACTTTATATTTTTTTTGTAGCCTTCTATTAAGAAGCTTCCAATTTATAGGAATTTTGAAAGTGGACTGCGACCTTATGTAGAAATTTGTCTCAATGGCTTTTTACTTGGTATTTATCAATTATACATCACTTATAAGGTAAAAAAAATAATTTTAAAATTTGATTTATAATAAATAACATTCAATTCTCTCAAAAATCAGTTAAAAACACATAATAAATGCAGTTTGCAAAAACTTAACTACATCTAATTCTGTTTTTACACAAACTTTTTAAAATGATTTTGATTTAACATGATTTTTAAAAACAAAAAATTTTCTTTTTACATGAGTTATTTTAATGAAATATGATTTATAAAATGAAAAAGGATTTATACGAATTAACATAATTTATCTCAAAACACATTTTTTAATGAAAAATCAAATAATTTGCATATAAAAAATGTAAATTAAAGAAGGTCTTGATCTAGCTAACAAATTGGGTAATCATTTTGTCAAGTATGATCATAATGAGGAAAGAACTTTAAAGTTTCAATGTGATCTGAAATCATTAATGTTGTCTTATAGAGACATACTAGACATACTAGCTTAAAGGGGATGAAGACCAGGGCCACTCGTAGGTATTGCCTGGTTTGAAATGGCTTATAGAGAATTATATAAAGGCCTAGTGACAATACGAACTGAGCCATTAATAACTGAATTTGTTCATAACATCACTGTAACATCAGCTTCACAGGACATTATTGCTAATGTTCAGGAGTTTACAGTGATAGCAGTGATATTGCAATCATGCAAAAATGTATGCATTTATTGTCTGAAAGTGACAGTGAATAAAATCTTATGTATAACTCACATTACATATTCTGCTCAATTTTTACATGTTTTTTTGTTTTTCAAATGAAATTTATGTTCATATAATACATTTTTATTTATATGCAATGTACAGTATATGAAATAAAATTTGATAACATGCAAAAAAATAAGATTATTACATGATTTTTCATATGGATTATTTTATTATTTTTGTTAATTTCTTAAGTTTCATAACCAATCTTCTAATTTTCCATATATACTATATATTTTTTTTTACATGATTTCTTTTACACACAATTTCCAGGAACCAATCATGTAAAAACAGAATTAGGTGTATATGTTTTAAGAAAATTTGTGCCAATATTTTTCAGTTAAAATTAGATTTTTTTAAACATTGTTTTGTATTATGTGACTTGAACACAATTTGAGTGAGAAATAATTGGAAATTGTTTTGTATATGATTTTAATTTAAGACAGGAATGGATCAAGGTGTTGTTACAAAATCAAAGTTTTGAGTGAATTGATGTTCAGGTTTTTATTGTGTAATTATTTCAATTAAATATATCCACAAAATAGTGTGTTGGAGAAAGTATTAAGCTGTCTTTTAATCTCTCTTTGATAGTGGTATAAGAGAGATTATTATATTACGTTATCGTCCATGCAGAATAATAATGTTTTGAATGATTGTAACATATTACCTTCATTCACTGATATCTTNAAATATATCCACAAAATAGTGTGTTGGAGAAAGTATTAAGCTGTCTTTTAATCTCTCTTTGATAGTGGTATAAGAGAGATTATTATATTACGTTATCGTCCATGCAGAATAATAATGTTTTGAATGATTGTAACATATTACCTTCATTCACTGATATCTTTAATTATTTGATATTGTTGATAAATTTTTTGTGTGATATTACAAAGTTATATAATTATATACTGGAAGTGTATATATATATAACCTTCTAATATCTTATAAATGCATGTAACATCCAAATAAAAATATGGATATTAAATGCTTAATTACTTTTTCAGTATTATACATTTTTTCCAACCTCTGTGTTTTGTTGACTTAACTTGTTTTCATGAATAGTAAACTTAAATATTCTCATTTAAAAGATATCTACATAAAAGATTTTACCATTATGTTTCAGTAGGATATATGCTCAGATGTATCACAGTTTGCTGTGTATAATGTAAACTTTTTTGTCCTAATTTGTAAGGGAAAAATAAGGATACTCATTTACACGGATAGTACTAGTTCCATAACTATACTGTACAAATGTTTTTAATTCTTTTATTTATGCTTATGATTAACTCATAAGCATAAAAAAGTAACTGTAGAAATCAATAGCAATATCCATAATCAAAGTAATACCTGGAATATGATAATTGGTTTTGTTGAATTTATAATGAACTTGCAATGAATGCAATTTCAGCCAATGATTCAATGAAATGAAATGAAGAGCAATGTATTAGCAAAATAAAACAGAAATTAATAAAGTAAAAAACAAAAAAGTGAAGAGATGTTGTTTGGTGCAAGTACTTAAGTACAAACAAATAAAAATTTGAATTAAAAAATTAAAATGAAAGATTTTTTTTTAAAGTTTGGGCTGAAAAGTTTGTTGCATTATACATGGCAAAATATGGTTAAAATTTACTTGTACAATATTATGCAATGTGATCTCAGCAATTTGACATACATGTGACTATGCCAAATTATCAAAAATAACAGGTTATCAAAAATGTTGAATGATTAAAAAATAGACACTGGAAATATCTGTAACTGTATTATATAACTGTAAATAAAATACATATGCATTAATTTGCTCATCAGTGTCTATCACAAAATAACTGTTGATTGTTTTTGTTGAAAACAACTTCTTTAAATACTATATAACTGGATTGCTGTATGATTGCAATATCATACAGCAATCCAGTTTATCCATGTTTATATAGAAATAAACTTCTTTAAAACTTTTTCTAGAAATATAGCTAATATATGTACTGTAATTTATGATGTATAAGCAATAAAACACAAGCATGTTCAATGCTATTGTTTCTCTCATCACAGATATAAAGTGATGGATGCTGGATTTAGATTACTGGATGTGCTGAAGTTTAATAAAACTTATATATAATCATCTTTCTTTATATAATATACTACAATTAAGTTATATAGTAGATTTATAAAGCCTATTTTTTGTTAGAAAGATGCAAATACTTATAATTTTTTTTATCTTGCAATAATAACAAAACTATAGAAAGACTATATTTTTAATTCTTACAAACATAAATAGAAAAATGAAAAATAAACATTTAGCTTCTACTTTTTTTTATTTAATATCTGTGTATTTTTCATAAATAAATTGTGAGCATGATAATAGAATTCCAAAAAACTTTTAATAAAATCTGTGTAATTTATTTTATTAAATATAAATTGCTGTTCATTTGCTTTTATTTTTATGAACAAGCAGCTAGTAACTAGAAAATGAATTTATTAATATTTTTTAAATTTCTGTAACAATTATTTTTAAATTATAAAATTGTTTTATGCATTATTGAGGAAATGTCTTTTTCTCATTTTCAGTTTTTTAGGAGAAAAAGTGAAAATATAATTTCTGAGTTAAAAGATAAAAATCATGAAGGTACATATATTTATCATTAAATAGAATATTTGTAAAATATTTGCATTCAGTAAATATGATGATTGAATATAAGTAATATAAATCTCATAGTAATTCTTAATTTAAAAAAAAAGATCTCTTACCAATATTTTAAATAAACAACTTAATTAGTATTTTGATGAATCAGAATAAACTAATTTCATGATATTTTAGATATTCTCTTTTATTTCAAACATAAAAATTGATTTGTAACAAGAAATTACTTTAAAAATAATTTTCATATTAATAACATCAATTAAACTATTTCTGAATAGAATGAAGATCTAAAATGTACATAATTTTGCATGTTTAATAACATAAATTATAATAGTTTTCACTTTTTAATATTTTATTTTGTAACTTGTACAAATTGAAATAAAAACAATCTTAAAGTTTTTTAAAAAATATAATTTACTAAAGAATGAAATTAAAATGATTTTTAGAGCCTGTTCTGCTGTTTGGGGCTTGTCTAAGATTAACATCTTCTGATTTAAAAATGTAAGTTATCTTATTTCTTATTCTATAATATATTATTAGAAGTTTTCAATTTAATTGAAACTTTTAATTATGCTAGTTTAGAAAATATAATACTATTATAGCTATATTATATTATATTATAGCAATATAGTACTATTCAGTATAACTTTGTTGGCATTAATACTAATATAGAGTTTATCATAAATGGTTTTTTTTTTCATTTCTACTAAAAAATCTTTCTGTAAGGCTGGATTTCTATTCTTGCATAATGCTTAAAATACCAGATGATAAAACTAAAAGTTCACATGAAGTAGATAGAGAAGTTTTGCTCTGTCAGAAGCTAGATTGGTGATATCAAGAGCCAGCAGTGCTGCTTTGCTTTGCATTATGAGAAAATCTTAGATCTTGAATATTTATAAACTATGGACAGTTGAAAAATTTCTAAATAAAATTAATGAGTAAAATGTGATGACCCTTACTTTAAGTTCAAAATTTAATTATATTTATAGATTTTACAGAATTCCAAGATAATCTGGTCTCTTCAGAATAAAAATTTTAAATATTTTACTGAATTGTCTTATAGCTATATTGACAACCAAGGATCAAAAGTTAGAAGTTAACCAATTACCACTTACTTAACTAATATGCATTCTTATACTAAAAGTAAACTTTTAATTCCAATTGTTGATCTTTGGTTGTGAGTATGGACATTAAAGTTTTACTTTGGATAACTTTTTGTTTATGATGACTCATTCTTAAATCACTCGCAGATCTTTTATGGACTTTCACTTAATAAAAATTTTATAAACATAAAACCTTTACAGTAAAAGTGCTAGCCTACTACCCTGGGGGACCTGGAAATGAATCCAGACAGATCAAAAATGCCCAGGAATCTTTGGTCCACCCTAGATATTTTGGATTCTATTCCTGTAGATACAAATATATGTTACTTTAACTTTCATAACTTATCTTTATATAACTCTGTTATGAAAATAATTTGGTTCTGTAGCATAAGGCATTTTCAGCTATCACAATATTTAATATGCTCACACTACATTTGTAAATTTGGTAATGTGTAATGAGTTTGTTAGGTGATCCTAGTTCATGGTATTGCCAAATTTCTTGCTCTACTTCTCTTGCTAACTTTTTACTCTTCCTAAACTTTTCATTGGATCACTTAGTTTTACTGCTTTTTTTAAAGACTAATCTAGTATTATAATTGTATACTATATCTAAACATGATGGATTATTTGAAAAATCACTTTTATCAATCAAACAAAGTTTTATAAATGCATTATATTGACATGTTCAGAATTTAAAATGTGTAAGTTTACTCAGATAGCAATCATATTAATAAATAAGAAAATATTGAACACTCCAAAAAACCTTAAAAATTATATTAACCATTTTAATCTCTAATGTATATTTAACCAACCTTCTTCAGGATTAATTTTCATTTCAATACAACCATCATTCATTTTGTAAGTTAATTCAGAAGAAGGTTGGTTAAATATCACCAAAAACATTAGAAATTAAACTGGTTAATGTAATTTTAAAGGTTTCTTGGACTGTTTTACTATCCAGTATTGCATTTCTCAGTAGTTGTAAGTACATATTGACTTGTTATTAAAAAATAAGAACAGATTAATAAATTTGACCTGATTTTTAAAAGCACAAAGAAGGAATTTAAGAAATTTCAAATTTATTCATAAGCAATAAATAAAAAGAATTAAATGATTAATAATTTCATTGAAAACGTTCAGTGAAATTGCTAATATTCTACTGTTTGTTCAATACTTATTAAAATTTCATAGCTAGTATTTAACATATCTATTCATTACATTAATTAATGAAGAAAATAAGTAAAATTTAAGCTTTGATAAAATTCAATATAACTAAATAAAATTTGTTCATTTTACTATTATATAAACTGATAAATATGTCTATTTTAAACTTTTTTATTTCAATTAATCTTTGTTCTGTGTGATAATTTTGGAATTGATTATTTAAAGCAATTTTTAATTTACAAATATTGCCTAAAATCTTATTTTATTAAATTATGTATAGCTAATATTAATTTGAAATAAATTATATCTATTTCAGGAGAACCTCTGATATATCTCACAATTGTGTAAGTAAATTTTTAATCATTTTTAAATTAGATTAGGTATTTTCTGTAAAATAAGAAGTGTTTTTGTAAAATAATTTTAATTAATATACTTTTGAAAAAATAAAATTAATATAGTGACATTAAATTCAGTTAAAAAAAAAAAAATACTTTTAACATTAATTTTCTAGATTGCTAGCAATGGTAGAAAAACAAGTATAAAATTTCATAAATTGATGATGATGATGATAATTCTTGAAGCTATAATAGTTTCATACTATTGGATAAACTTTTCAAAAGAACTGACAAAATATGAAATATATATAGTACATTAACAGTTTGATACTAAATGAAACATTGAGTTTGGTATTTATTTTTTCCGTATGCATTTTTGATATTTAAATGTCTAAATAGGATGGGCTTCTAAAATAGTACAATAGAAGCCAAGTTCTTCACGGTAAGCCTTAATCCTGTCTCTCTCCCCCGCAAGGGGAATATTGAAAAATCCCGTTTTAGTGTATATTCTTTTGACGTACCCTATTAAAATCCAATCAAAAAAGCAAAAAACCTCATCTAAAATAGTATAAATAGAAGCAGAGTTCTTTAGAATAAGCCTTAATTCTGTCCATCTCCCCCCAGTGTGGGGAATTTCAACATGTATATTATATAAAAACACGTACTGTACTGTACGTATTCGAATGCAATGATGTGTCAAAGTTTCAAAGGAATCAGTAGGAACAAACGAACATTACATTTTTATTTATATACAGTAGATAGATAGATGATGATCTGCTTTAGTTCATCCTCACAGAAAAGCATAATGCCTCACAGAAAAGCAAACTTAGGTCATCATACTCATAGTGCCATCTGTTGGACATAAAAGCCTTAACCCTAGATGATATCTTTTAATTTATATGAATGTTTAACGGAATAATATACAGCCTATGTCCACCCTGAAGTTCCATTCTAAATATTGGTGAAAGAATTTTTGAAATTGGATGAGTAGTTTTGGAGATTACCCCTACGTCCAAACTTACAAACATTACCTCTTTATAATATTAGTATAGATTAAGATAATTTTGTTTCACTCTGAAAGGATAAATTATTCTGAAAAATTTTAGCAAAACTTCATTCAATACTATAAATGATTTTACAATAGTTAAAGCCATATATGCAGTTTTACTTCATATTTACGACATATGTATTTTTGCATTGTTGAAGTTATTTTTAATGTAAAACAATATTATTATTTGTAAAAAACGTATTTAAAATGGTTAATACAAATACAATTTTTTGAATGCTTTCAAAAATGTTAGGAATACTAACACTTGATTTTTAAATAATTTTTCATTTTTTTTATAAAAAAATTTCAAATATGATTTAATTGATGAAATAACACATCTGTTTTTCAGGATCTTATAATGCCAGATATTCCTCACTCTCTCAACATTTCAGAAATGATGCAATTTATGCAAGTCAACATAGAGTTTTTAAATCTGTTTTCAGATATGGATTGCAGGTAAAGTTTATGTCTAATAATATTAGTGAATGTTTTATTTTAGTTTAATTACTTATTATTGGAATTTAATTACAATATTTTTTGTGTGTATAAATATAAAAAAAAATATTTAAGAAAATAATTATAAAATTATGAAACAAGATTTTTCTAGTTTTTTAATCAGGTTAATTAATTTACTTATTAAAAATGGAAGAATTGAAAAGAATAAAAAAATTAGAAATATAAATGGAATTCTAAATTATCTGAACATGAATTTTATACAATATTTTTTACATATACCAAAGACACTAACTAAATAGTATTGTATTTTAATATATAACATCATATAATTTATGTAAATTTATGCTTATTTTAAGGCTTTTATAAATAATAATGTATAAAAAATTTATTAATTATTTTTTAATCTATTTTTTATCTTCAGAATATTTTAAAAATTCTGTTTCTTCTAAAAATGAATAGTTTGAACTTATTTCAAGTTCAATTTATTTATTATTAGTTTGCAGTTTTGACTGGTTTTTAATATTACCAGTAATATTAAAAATTTTTGAACTAAATACTAAATATTTTTCAGATTATGTAAAATTCCAAATAATCCAAGTTTTAAATCATCCTCTAAATATAATTCAAATAAAAAAGAAAATACTTTACTTTCTCAACAAAGAAGTAGTGATGGAAAATTGAAAAGTAAGCTTGTATTTAAATTATAACTGTTATAATAAGAAATAATTAGAAAATTTTTATTATTTTTAAAATTTTCATTACAATAAAGAAACTTTCTAACACTGGAACCAGAAAGATTTATTTATGCAGTTAGTAAGCTGACCAACTCCCAAATAGTGAATTCTGCAATTTTTCCATTCCAGGAGTAAAAGCTTTGAAGAATTTGATATTTTTCATTTTTATTAATATCAAAACACCACTTCCTATTTTTTATTCTGTTTTAATATAAACTCAAAAGTTGATTGTTATGTTGAGTAGATACAAGATAAATAAGCCTGAATTGAAGAATATAAAGAATTTTAAATTTTAGGAATCTCCAAGTGAGTTTGGTAGAGTTGGCAACCCTAGCCATTATCTGAATCTGCAAAATTATTACTAAAAACTATAATAATGACGTGATAGAATTCATAAATGCATATCATGATTATNCTTACAAACATTACCTCTTTATAATATTAGTATAGATTAAGATAATTTTGTTTCACTCTGAAAGGATAAATTATTCTGAAAAATTTTAGCAAAACTTCATTCAATACTATAAATGATTTTACAATAGTTAAAGCCATATATGCAGTTTTACTTCATATTTACGACATATGTATTTTTGCATTGTTGAAGTTATTTTTAATGTAAAACAATATTATTATTTGTAAAAAACGTATTTAAAATGGTTAATACAAATACAATTTTTTGAATGCTTTCAAAAATGTTAGGAATACTAACACTTGATTTTTAAATAATTTTTCATTTTTTTTATAAAAAAATTTCAAATATGATTTAATTGATGAAATAACACATCTGTTTTTCAGGATCTTATAATGCCAGATATTCCTCACTCTCTCAACATTTCAGAAATGATGCAATTTATGCAAGTCAACATAGAGTTTTTAAATCTGTTTTCAGATATGGATTGCAGGTAAAGTTTATGTCTAATAATATTAGTGAATGTTTTATTTTAGTTTAATTACTTATTATTGGAATTTAATTACAATATTTTTTGTGTGTATAAATATAAAAAAAAATATTTAAGAAAATAATTATAAAATTATGAAACAAGATTTTTCTAGTTTTTTAATCAGGTTAATTAATTTACTTATTAAAAATGGAAGAATTGAAAAGAATAAAAAAATTAGAAATATAAATGGAATTCTAAATTATCTGAACATGAATTTTATACAATATTTTTTACATATACCAAAGACACTAACTAAATAGTATTGTATTTTAATATATAACATCATATAATTTATGTAAATTTATGCTTATTTTAAGGCTTTTATAAATAATAATGTATAAAAAATTTATTAATTATTTTTTAATCTATTTTTTATCTTCAGAATATTTTAAAAATTCTGTTTCTTCTAAAAATGAATAGTTTGAACTTATTTCAAGTTCAATTTATTTATTATTAGTTTGCAGTTTTGACTGGTTTTTAATATTACCAGTAATATTAAAAATTTTTGAACTAAATACTAAATATTTTTCAGATTATGTAAAATTCCAAATAATCCAAGTTTTAAATCATCCTCTAAATATAATTCAAATAAAAAAGAAAATACTTTACTTTCTCAACAAAGAAGTAGTGATGGAAAATTGAAAAGTAAGCTTGTATTTAAATTATAACTGTTATAATAAGAAATAATTAGAAAATTTTTATTATTTTTAAAATTTTCATTACAATAAAGAAACTTTCTAACACTGGAACCAGAAAGATTTATTTATGCAGTTAGTAAGCTGACCAACTCCCAAATAGTGAATTCTGCAATTTTTCCATTCCAGGAGTAAAAGCTTTGAAGAATTTGATATTTTTCATTTTTATTAATATCAAAACACCACTTCCTATTTTTTATTCTGTTTTAATATAAACTCAAAAGTTGATTGTTATGTTGAGTAGATACAAGATAAATAAGCCTGAATTGAAGAATATAAAGAATTTTAAATTTTAGGAATCTCCAAGTGAGTTTGGTAGAGTTGGCAACCCTAGCCATTATCTGAATCTGCAAAATTATTACTAAAAACTATAATAATGACGTGATAGAATTCATAAATGCATATCATGATTATTGTTGGTTTAATAATTTTATATAATAGTTTTATTTTAATTTATGAATAATAAAACATATTTAAACATCAGATATATCATTAGTAATTATCTTTTAATTCTTAAAAATATTTAAAATATTTAAAAATTTTTTACTTCTAATAATGATATATTATAATTTACTGTAACGGACACTTGGTACTGTACATGTGCTTGGTTGAGTGGCCAGTGTTGCAAAGCTATTATTCGTGGGATTATGACTAAACATCCATAAGGCAGAAGCCTCCCTGCCACAGAAACAGTGGTCGTTGCGAGAGTAATCCTGTGTGGTAGGAGAGGGACCGCAGGATCAGACACTTTGTGATCTGGTCACTTGTTGTTATGCTGGGAGTACGAGAAGCAAGAAGAAGAACGAACGTATACCCTAGAATAGATTTGAACCTTGGGATATGGACTTACCACCTTGAACTTGTGCCCGGCTAAGATCCCCATTAGCCGTAACATTTACAAACTGTTTAAAATTAATATAATATGAATTTGAAATATGAATTTAAAAATACTGAAGAATTTACATACCTGGAAAAGAACAATAATGATATATCTAAGCAAGATGATTATATCCAAGAAATCAAAGAAACAAAAATTTTACATTTATTATTTCAAAAAGCTGGAGAATAACAGTTTCAAATAATCTATATTAAAAAAATTTTTTTATATAAAGTGTCACACTGGAATAAAACCACTGTAAAGTAAAAATGTGTTTTTTTATTTGAGAAAAGACTTTTTTCATTTTTATTAAGAAATAAGAATATTTTTAAGAAAATGTTTTTTAGTATTTATTTAAAAGAAATAACAATAACAATTGACTGGATATAATACAAAATAACACAAAAACCACTAAATTTCAGTAAAGTGAGTTTTGCTGGATTTTAGAGATTTCTGTGTTAATTACAATAACTTTTACAACTTTTTCCCTCATTTTTTAAACATTTTTTATCAATAAGTAATATGTGAATTTTTATGAATCTAGAGTTGAATTTATATGGTTTAAAGGTACAATAAATTTATATATTTTGATCTTAAAATGTGTTGATTAAATATTAGATCAGATAAGTAACAAATAAATTTATATACAGTAGAGTATCGATTATCCGACCCCCGATTAACCATCACATCGGTTAACCAACCATTCTAATCGGCAAATTTCAAATGTCCACAGTGATGTGGCACTACAATATTTGGCTATGTCTTGGCTACTTTAATATTATTTTCGTTAAATTTTTGCATGTTTTAGCGGGCAACATCGACTCGACCATTGAAGGGAGGCCAGTATTTAAACGAGACTTAATTTTCTAATTATGAGTGGTTGTTTGTTTCGTGAGCAATAAAATAATTTAAAAATAATTTTTAACGATAGCGACGATTATTATTTAAAAAAAAAAATTGTTGGGCTTAACATCGATGAAAATTCAATGCAAAGTTGGTTAGTAGCGATATACTAATTACACAGGATATACTAATGTACTATGCTAATAATGTATTTTTTCATTCTTTCCGATTATCCAAATTTTTCAGTTATCCGACTAATCTGAGTCCTCAATTGAGTCAGATAATCGATGCTCTACTGTATGTGTTTACTTTAGTTAAGTAAATTAATTAATTTAATAAAAAAATTTATTTAAAATTTCAGTTGTAAGTTATATAAATGCTTTTTTTATTGTATGTTATGCAATAAAATAGTTTTTATATAACTATTGTATAATTTGTTGATTTCAATAAATTTAAAATGATATATTCTTTAATAATGCATACTATTTAAAAATAATATGAAAGAAAACAAATTCTGTGCCTTTGTATTATTAATAAAGAATTTCAAGCTCACAATTTTTAAAGACTAACATTTAGTTAACTTCATTGTTTTTTTATTTATAAACTTTATAAGAACAGAAAAATAATGAAATACTTAAAAATTCTTTACAGATATAAATAATATAGTAAAACTTCATTAAGTTTAAGGGTAAATATAATTCCAACTTTGAGTTAAAGCAGTGATTCCCAAACTTTTTCGATCCACCGCCCCCTTTGTTCCATAAAGTTATACCCAACGCCCCCTAACCCATTTTCTCTTGTGTGAGAAAGGATTGGAAATATTCTTAGGAAAACTTCTATGAATCTCACACTTTGTGCCCTTACTGTACATTGTTCTTAACATCTGGAAACCATTAAATGCAATGTTTCCTCTTATCAGTTTAACAGAGGAAAGGGAACGGCTTTCAGTGATCCCAATTTTGCCTTTGGTTGCCGTTCAGTACCCTGTTTCCAGTGCCCCCTTAGACTTACTCATTGCCCACAAGAGGGCATTATTGTCCACTTTGAGAAATGCTGAGTTAGAGTTTCAAGTTAAATTTAATACTCNAAACAGAAAGGTGATTTCAATTGAAACAAAGCAAGAAATCATCAGAAGGAGTGAAAGTTGACAAAAACTTCCTTGTCAAATGGGCAGAGGTTCAGGAGTTTACCAACACTCATTATCCAGACAGAGCTGGGGCCAACAGGATCAATGATCTCTACAATGACACCTTTGCCCGTCATTTCCAACAAGTGTTGAAGAGAGAGAAACAGACCACCTTGGACATGTTTTCAAGAAGCCAGCTGTCAAAAAGCAAAGGATGAAACAAGAGGAGTTGACCATGCAAGCTCCGGTAGCCTCTTCTAAATCTGACTCCGATTAAAAAACAATAAAAAGAGACCTGCTGCAATGTGTAAAAAGTCTGTATCTGTATGAATGTATGAAAAAAGTGTTCCTCCACCTCCTCACAACATCTGACTACTCGGCATAATTGGTGACTGCTCCATTTTCATTTTTTTATGGTATGGTTATTTTATGCTGCAGAACGAATTATATGTTTTAACATGTATTTTTATGGGAAAATGCATTTCGTATAACGGACTTTTCACTTAAAGGACGTGCACCTGGAACGGATTAAGTACGTTACATGAGGCACCACTGTATATGAAGTTTGTTATTGAATGAAAAATTTAAAATATATAAAAGAACATTACTGTATATGAAATAGTGGCCCAAAAGTCATTTGACTGATATATATTTTTAATAGATTACAGTAAGAATGGCTAAAACCAGTTTGGATCAGCTGAGTGTTTGTGATACAGTTGCTTCCATTGAAATGATTGAACCATAAATAAGATTAAGTTATTGACATAATTAGTAATTAATATGTTACATTATTGTACTAGAAAAATAAATTTAATAAACTTTGCTATGTTTAGGCATGGATTATCATTGGGGAAAATGTGGGATGTTATAGAGAAGTATCATTCTGATGGTAGTGGTAAGTATATATGCATTTTTTAATAATTTTTTTATGTTTGAATTTTTGAAAAATTTTCTTTCACTTTTTTTTTAGCACATTAAATTTGATAGAATATATGATTAAGTGAATTGTGATAAAGTGAATAACATAAAACAAATATAAATTATTCTACAAAAAGCATGAAAATTGAAGACTAAATACCAAAGCATTTTGAAGTCTTCTACATATCCATTCACAACCATTGGAACACAAGAGTTGACTTTACTAGTTTCATTGTGTTCCAGAGTTATGAATCAATATGGAAAAGACTTCAAAATGTGTTTTGTAATTTTCCCAGTACATTTTCTCCTGGATTATTAATTTTTATTTTTACAATAGATTATCTTAGTTTGATAAAAATTTCTGTATATATTATTTTCACTAGATAAGTTATACAATCCTGTGTGGTAGGAGAGGGACCGCAGGATCAGACACTTTGTGATCTGGTCACTTGTTGTTATGCTGGGAGTACGAGAAGCAAGAAGAAGAACGAACGTATACCCTAGAATAGATTNATACATTTATTTAAAATAAATTATATATATTCTGATATTAAAATATTGTTTTATTATAAATTATTTTTCAGAACATTGTTTTCTTGAAATATTAAGGAAATTCTTTTTTACACAACATATTCTCTACTCAGTTTTGATTGGTCGTCCTATTGTTATTGTTGGAGAGAACAACAATGAGTTTGAAACTCAGATACGTGTTTTTGTTAAATGTTTAGGTTTATTAGTGCCCCGAAAAAACAGGTATGTCTTGTATATGATTGATATTGCAATTATAAAATGTCTATATTTATGTACAGTATGTGTCTGGAATAATTTAATGTAAATCAATAACATTTATAATCATTATCATACTAATACAGTTGAACTCAGTTATAATGACATTCAAGGGGTCAGTCCTGATTATCTGGTTATAATGACATTCCCTTGGATGTCATTATAACCAGGATGACGATATAGCCAGGTTCCATGGTGTCTGAGATAATCATGTAAAAATACAGTATGATAATTATATGCATTAATGCATTGAGCCTTTATTACATTATACATTATATATCTATTGCTTTTAATGCTTAAAAAAGTCAGCAATTTTGTTGAGTCTGGCATTTTTGAATACATGTTGTTTAAGTCATTCTGGAGATGAGATAGTTGCAAATGTCATGTCTTCTCTTTGGGAAGATGATTCGAAGAATTGTGGTTATATTTTTGAAGTGGCAATTGCTTCATTTTGCATACAAATAGGTTCCAAATTTGCATTCATCACCATATCATCATAATGGCTAGCTCCCTCTTGCACTTTCATTATGATGTCAGAATCAGTATTTATTATATTGATTATAATGTCATCTGCTTGAATATACTGACGCAGCTCCTCTGCATTTGGGAGAATTTCAATATTGATATTGTTGTACCACTCAGATTCTTCAGACTCTGAGCTTTCAGCTATGTTTGCTTTACACTACTTTGCTTTTATGAAAGATCTATATTAGTACCTGTTTTCACTAACCAGAAGAAATTTGAAGACAATTTTTGATTTTATGAAAAGGTGAAAAACAAAAATAGCACTTTGTGTTTGTTTTGCAGCTAGTTGTTTAAGTAGTAGTGAGCTCCCTGAGACATGAGAAGCATCTCCAAGCTTTTTCCCTGGGAACTAAATTCAGCATCAAGTCACAATAACTTTGAATTGTCTTTAGGCAACTGTGTTTAATTCAATTTATTTTGTACATTTGTTAACAAGTATAAAGTGAGAAAATCGAAAGTGTATTGCATTTGTGGATTCATGTATGTACAAAGTGTGCAGTTCCATTAAGTTATCCTTATTTAAGAGAAAAGCATCAATCTTTTCAAAAAGCTAAGACAAAAAGAAAGAATGAACAATGGTGATGAAAGTTTTACAAAAGTGGAATGTAAAGGGAGTCTTGGATAGTTTGATCAGTTTTTGAAACAAGCAGTTTCATACCTTAAAAGTTACTACTGAAAGATTTTACACTACTTTCAGATAATAGGGGAACCCCTGTATTTGGCTTATTTGAAAATCATTTTAAAACAGAGCAATGACAGATTTATAGGTAATGACATAAAATATAAACAAAACTGTAAAGCATTATTATTTTACATATTTACATGAATTATATCTGGTTGGAATCTTAAAAAAGGATAGACTTTAAACTGAACCAAAATCATGTGTATGGTCATTATTACTTGAAATTATTATTTTAATATGGAATATTTTCATTTGATTTATGAAATTGGTTACTGAAGTATCAAAACATCAATAAGTACTATTTACTTATCAAATACCATAGAAACTAATTTTTGATATTTTCTTTGTCTTTATTATTAGTAAAATAATTTTAAATATTAATAAGATATAAATTTAAAAAAATCAATGCTTTTTTTAGACTTGCATGGATGGAATTATGGCGAACTAGTCCTATTAAAGAAGCTGAGTTAGATAATTTAGCTATTCTTGGACTAGGTTGTACACCTAATAATAGTATAGATACTTTAATTCCTTCATCCAGAATAGTAAGTTTAATTTTATTTACAATTATAGTATATTTTTAAAAGGATGAGATAATGTTGTTTAAAAAAATTTACAAAATAATGATATCTATATTTTTATTTGAATTAGAAATTTAATTTTTAAAAAGTAAGGATTTAAACAAAATTCATATGTTAGAAAAAAGTTCTTCAGATCAATTAAAAGATTTATCAGAGTTGAATCAAATGGCCAATAAAATTATTAGAGAGAAATAACTGTATTTAAAATTTTTAAATTGTTGATTATAAAATAAGATAAATTTAAGACCTTGAGAAAATGCCAAAATAAACATTATGAAAACACTTTTCCTTAAATGTTTATTCTAAGTTTGATGAATTTTGAATGTTAGCTATATTGAAATTATTGACAAACTTTGATTATTTTTCAATATAATTTATAAATTTAAAAAAATATTTATTTCCCAGGAAAACATAAGAAATTATTTAAAGTTATTAGAACGGGATGAGTCAAAAGTCCTTGCATCCTTTTTATTCCAAAAGTATTGAAAACATGTTTTATTAATTTATATATATAGGAAGACTTGCACTTGCATCGAGAATTAGATGGAATATTTTTGTTGATCTCGAAAATCACTTTCAGGGTCACTTAACATTGTTTCTTTTTAAAAAAACAGAGGCAATGAAAAAGTTCCAATAATGAACTTAAAGAGCACTGTTTAATTAGTCTAAAGCCATTTTCTGAATTCTTAAATTAGCATGGTGTAAACAAATGTTCAAGGTATTAATCTTTTTTAAAAATGAACTTTAAATTCACGAGGAGTAAAAGTGATTTTGTTTTAAATGACCTTAAAAATAATTTTTAAGGTTGTCAAAAAATGTTCTGTCAAATTCTCCATGTTCCAATTTCCTATGTAACTACATTAACAAAATTGGTATATCTTCAGTACTTTTGGAATGAAAAAGGGTTGCATGGGACTTTTGACTCACCCTGTATAACTTTTTTTAAAGCATTGTATTTATAATTTCTCTTCACTCCTCTTTACAGATTACAATTACGTTTGTTTCAATAATTTTCAATTAGATGATGATTTTTATTAAAATCAAAATTTCTGTCATTGTCATAGTAAATAAATACTGAGAATCTAATTATTTCATTAGAAATATTATTAAAAAGTGGATATACTTTAATGTTCTCAATTGTTGAAACTTATTTTCAGAATGTATTTGCAAAATAACTATTTTCAAAACTATACAAAATCTTAAAATAATTACTAAAAACAAACAGTATGCATTTTGTCCATATTATTATTGTAAATTACAGTAAATTACTACCATAAAACACTTAACCTTTGTTCTTTTTCTAAGAATCTGAAATTTTTAAATTATTATTTTGTGGTAACCAATCTTCGAAAATGAGCCTTTATGATCAAAAACATTAAAGGCAAATCTATTTTTTGATAACATTTTAATAAAGTATTTGGCCTTTTATTTTATTTTAGTCTATTATCATAATATTTATAAATGAATAAAAATTGTGATTGTTACTATTGTATATATTTTTATATTAATTAATTAATGATTAGTAAATTATTAATTAAAACTGACATATTAATCTATTTATACTACAAACATTGCCTTGCATTTCAGTGATACTTTCTCTTTCACTATTGTTATTTTGTTTATATAAATAGGATATATTCTAAACTTTAAAGGTTAAGTAATAATAATATAATAATGTTAAACTTGCAAATAATAATTAATAAATATAAAAAATATAAATACGACTTTACAAAGATAAAACTTTGCATTTTGTCCTTCCTTTTCGCCATTCACACCATCAGCAGTTCTTAAAAAATTCATAAAGTTTCTGAGACAACCTTTCTTTTGAGGCTACTGCCTCTGCAAAAACATGTAAAACAGATAGTGTCCTCTGCTGTTAATGCCACAATCATAATATCATACTTTATGTACTTATATTAGTTTTTTATTTAGTGTGAATGGCGAAAAGGAAGGACGAAATGCAAAGTTTTATTTTTGTAAAGTTGTATTTATTATTTTTTATATTTATTAAATGTGAATAATGCCGGTTGTGTACTTGTATTAGTTTTTTATTTTAAAATTTAAAAGTTTAAATTATTGAAAGTATAAGTGTAATTCTGATATACAATATATACAAATTTATAACTATTGTATTGCAAATAAATTATTTTAAAGGAAGATTATCTGTACTATATATAATTTTATTTTTAAACCATTATATTTTATTGGTTATGAATTAAAGAATTTTAAAAATTGTTAAATTTAAAATTATAAATTTGAATGTGTTTCAATGTTTGAAAGTAAAATGATATACGAGGGTTAGTTTTTTTTTCAACCTCCACTAGCACGTGAAAAAAAATTGGAAGTATGTGAGACAGGGATAGGGTGCACACCTAGTAAATAGTATATTCCCTCACTACTTAGTGTCGTACCAAGCTATTTTAAACATTTGCTACTCTGCAGTAAACGTGATGATGCCAATCTAGTCTCCTGCCAACTGTGAAGTATGAATAGTAATTCAATTTCTACAGGCCAAAGGGCAGAATGGAGGTGAAATTCGTTGAAGGATGTGTAATGTGTATGGTGAGAACCTCATGAGCAATGGATATATGCATGAATGGTGCAGGAAATTCAAACAAGGACATGACAACATTTATGATGAGGGCAGTCAAGGGAAGAAGTGTGTGATGACTGATGATTTGGTGGACAAAGTGGATCAATTTGTGTGAGAAAGGCATTGGTTCACGATTTCTGAGCTCAGTGAAGAGTTTCCTCAAATTTCAAGTTTCCTGTATACTGCTGACTGACAGTGTTAAAGGTTAGCTGAATGGCCTGGTGGCAACATTCTTCGACATGAGTATACAAAAGTTGGTGTCACGGTATGATGTCTGCCTGAATCAACAAAGCAATTATGTGGAAAAATAGGTGAAAACTGTAACTACATTCTACAAATAAAGTGGTTTTGTTCTTCATCCTTGTTTTTCTGGGTTGGTGGAAGTTGAAAAAAAATAACCATTGTATTTATAAATTATTCATAATAATGGTTATTTTTAGGATCATTTGACAATTTTAGATCTGAAGTGCTATTCATTTACTGGACCTCATTATTCAGTAAGTTTTATTTTTTGATCTTCATATTAATATTTATATTGTCTTATTACTATTTGAAAATTTGTGTTTTTAAATGAAAGTAAGTCTTTTCCTGAATTTTGAAAAATAATTTTATGAAAGCTTGTATTAATTAATTTATATGGCAAAGTATTTTAGATTTTTGAAATTAATTCAGAATAGATGTGAAAACAATAATTAATAACAGTGAAGTATTTAAGAGGAAAGTGTTAAATTGTTTAAATTTAGAAATAAGTATGCTACAAGATTGAGAAAAGTTATTGTTACATCTTCAAGTTAGAGAACATCAGTAAAATAAATTTTCTATTAACTTTTTCTAAACAGTAATTGGATGAACAAAATGGAATTTTAGCATTCTATTAGATGGTCTGATTATTACAGTCTGTCAGATCTTTATCATATAAGGGAGCAAGCTCATTTTGGTTAAATAAATATAGTAGTTATTAATATATTTGATACTAATGCTGTTTAGATGGTTCAGTCTCAAATATTCCATTTTTTCTTTATCACTTATTTTATAATTACATCTGTAATAAATTGGAAAGTATGGAAGAAATTGGGGAAAAAACGAAATGTTTGAGACCAATGTTCCCTCTAATTTTTTTTTGTAGCTGAGCGGGACATGTACTTCTGTGAGCAAAAAAATTTTTTCTAAGCAGATTGTGAGAAAAAATTTTTCTGAGCAGAAACATAGACAATCTTATATTTTCCTTTAAAAATTAAAATAATTAATTATAAAGTAAAGATTAAAATTCATTTTAAAACATACTTCCATACAAAATATTATCTTTTGTCAATGATTTAATGTATTTAATCGAAATATATATAGCAATAATCATGTCGCAGACAGTGACAAATCTGTAAACAACAATTCAAATCAGTGTGCACGCTCACCTGCGCAGCACATAAATTCTTGTTCGCAGCCATGCAGCTTAGAGGGAACCTTGTTTGAGATTATCTTCTAAACTGTACACTAGTTAAAGGACATGTTTTCAATAGCAGTTTCCAAGGTGCAGAGTATATGTCAATGCAGATTATAAGCAGTTATGGTAATTAATTAAGGGAGCATAATTTTTTAATGTTATGATTAGTTAATCATTAAAATTATGTAAAGATAGTGACATGTCTACTTGTACAGTCGATGTCCCTATAACACTGTTGATAATTCTGTTTTATATGAATTCCATGTTTTATGAGTCACTTAGATTTTACAAATATGTGTGCTGGGCAGTGAACAGCTCACGTATTTGTAAAATCTAAGTGACTCGTACAACATGAAATTCATATAAAACGGAATTATCAACAGTGTTATAGGGGGTCGACTGTATTACATTATTATAATTTAATTTTATAACTTGTATTAAGAAATATATTAAAAAGTGAGCAGTTGTGTAAAACAAATAAAATCAACATTAGTACAGTTTTTTTTTTAGAACAAAGAATAAAAATTATATATTTCTTGTTTGTCCTTAAAATTAATTTTACTGTGTTTGAATAGTCAGTTTAATACATTTTCATCGAAATATAAAGCTTGGTATTAATTAATACTTAAGTTGTTAATAAAATTTTATTATAAAAGATTTTTCTGTAATATTTTTAAAGTTTATTTATATCTCTATACAAATATTTAATTCAAATTTATATTGTAGAAAACATATATGTTTTCTACAATATAAATTAAAAGTTTATAAAACAAACTGTATTTACAGGGTTGTTTGTTAGCTGATATTGATAAAAAACTTAAATGTCTTCCTCAAAATGGACCAATATTTTCTATATTAATCAGGTAAAAATTTTATTATGAAATATTAATAGATAAAAATATTTGCAATATATATCCCAAATTTCAAAAATAATTCTTCTTTGAAGTAATATTTAGTTTAAATGAATATTTTAAGTTGTATTGCTTTCAAAACTAAAAATTTTTTCTTCTAATTATATTTTATTTTTTCAATTTGTATGGTGATATTACTCCCACAAAAGAATAAAGGTTAATCTTTACCTATGTGCACTATCATGGTCACACAGTGAGGACCCACGTTCTAACTTAACCTAACCTATTCTAATAAATTACCAAAAAATTGGTAATTTATTAGAATAGGTTAGATTAGGTTAGAACAAGCATGGCCAACATACAGCCCGTCTAATGAATTTATGCGGCCTGTGATTAATCTTTCAAAAATAGCTAGTTAAGTCCGAATAGCTCGAAGAATAATTCTGACGCCTTAAGAAAAAAAAGGGTCGGTCAGCAACTCACTGAGCATTTAGAGTTAACGCTCCATTACAAATAAGTTTAGCACTGAGTAGAATGTTGATAATGCATGATAATGTGAAAAATGTATCTGTAATCCCTACGTACAATTTAGTCTCTACAGGGTGACACCACAATGAGGTCTCGCACCATCTCAAAAATTTCCTAGGGCAGCCTCTGGTTCGGCCTGTGGAAAAAGTTCTCTCCAATATGGCCTGAGGGCAAAAACTGTTGGCCATCCCTGGGTTAGAATGTGGGTCCCCACTGTGTGGCCATGACTATGCACATAAGTAAAGATTGACCAGAATAAATTATACAAGATTATTTAAATAAAAATTATCTTTGTCTTTTTGTTCTAAAAATCTTAGTTTTACTATTGGAAAATAGATATTTTTATGGATATCTGCACATATGTTAAATTACAATAATTCAAAAAAGTCTCTTGTGTAAGATACAAGATTGACCTTTGATCCAGAAATATACCTGTAATTTCTTTTAATCTTTGGTCTAAATGTGTGTGCTTGTGTTTCCTATGGTAATCACCCTTTTGTAAGTATAGCTCCATCTATTGACAAAATTTTAAGATTTGAATGTTAAATTGATATCACAATTTTGTGACTTTTATTAAATTTTTTTTACAATGAAAGGTTTCCCTTTTTTTTTTTTTTTTTTTAAGTTATTACTATTATTAAATAATTTAATGTTTCATTCTTTTAAAATGTAAATACAAATAAGTAAATAAGTATATCAAATTAAAAACATCAAATTATTAAATTAAATTAAGCATCAAATTATTGTGGATTAATGCACTTCTTTATAGTATGCAAATTTGCATATTTACCAGAACGGCATATAAATGAAACAAAAACTAATACTTCATTGCAGTGAAGTATTTAAGAGGAAAGTGTTAAATTGTTTAAATTTAGAAATAAGTATGCTACAAGATTGAGAAAAGTTATTGTTACATCTTCAAGTTAGAGANATTAAATAATTTAATGTTTCATTCTTTTAAAATGTAAATACAAATAAGTAAATAAGTATATCAAATTAAAAACATCAAATTATTAAATTAAATTAAGCATCAAATTATTGTGGATTAATGCACTTCTTTATAGTATGCAAATTTGCATATTTACCAGAATGGCATATAAATGAAACAAAAACTAATACTTCATTGCACAATGCACATAAAACTTTGTCAAAGGACGGAAAACAATAAATAGAATGAAAATAAACAATTACACAATTAGAATTGAGTGCATATTTTTCAAATGGTGAAATTATAAATAAAGGCTAAAAAAATTGATTTTTGCATTTATATAGATAATATTTATATAAACAATCAAATCTGTATCAACAAATATAGATTAGTCATAAAAACCATAAAGTTATTCATTTTCAAATGCGAAGGATTTTAAAAAAGGTCAACAAAGGTCAATCCACAGAATCATGACACCTAAAAGATCAGACCTGAAAGTGTTAATTTATTAATAATTTAACTAATGGTGAATTTTTTTATTTAAAAAACAAAAATTCATTATTAATTAGACAAATCTCATATTAAAACTACTGTATTATGTTAACNTCAACAAAGGTCGATCCACAGAATCATGACACCTAAAAGATCAGACCTGAAAGTGTTAATTTATTAATAATTTAACTAATGGTGAATTTTTTTATTTAAAAAACAAAAATTCATTATTAATTAGACAAATCTCATATTAAAACTACTGTATTATGTTAACACTAATCATTAATTCATAAATAATATAGTTAGACTAATAATCTTTGTATTTTTTTTTTTTTAACTTACAGTATCTTGATTGATATTGAAATGAAAGTCCAGTTTTGGTTATGTGGTATGATATCAGAAAAAACAATTAAAGTGACAGATTACTTTTTAAATAATGGCTTTTCAAAACATGATTTTCATATCATACAGGTAATAATTGTTAATTTTAAATTATGGTAAATTTAAGAAGATAAATTAATTTTTTATAATGCAATTTAATCATAATTTGTCAAATTTTTTTATTAACTAAAACCTTTTGCTAAGTTTATTTATTTACATGTAAATTCTATTACAACACATTTATATTTTATCATAAGTTTTTATTGAAAAATAATGATGTGACAATTATAATTATGTAATTTAATGCTGACCAAAATTTTTTTAACACTTGAGTCATTTAAGTTTGAAAATCAGTATATATTCTATATCAACCCTTAAAATGTGTATGACAGTCAAATGTCTGAAAATCCAGCAATGGAGTTGCATGTTATGATTCAGTTCTATTCCTGGATAGTTAATAAGAGATTTTATAATTTTTTATTTTAAGTAGGAAAAGTTTAGTTTTTCACACAGTGAATGTGTTATAATGTACAAAACACTCATTAGTGTTTTATACATTATAACACATTATAAGGCTGCTTGGATGGAAAAGAAAGATTATGTCTGTCTCTGCTCCAATTCAAAAATTTTTATTTTTTAAATTGGATATATTTAAGAAAATTTTTAAATTGTTGGCAACCAAGTAGATAAAAAGGGAGGTCAGACATCATAGAATGTATTCTGGAACAAGGAACTATTTCAATAACTTTATCTTCAATCTTAATTATATGATATTACCTTTGTGGTAAATTTTATAAAATTGAAACTATTTAATGTGTTAAAATCATAGATTAAGTAATAAGCAGACTAAAATTATTATTATGTTACTGAAACCAAGAATGACTGAAAGCACCAGTACACAACAATTTAAAGTTTTTGTTTGTCAGCTGAAAATTTATGAAAACCCAAATTTGATATACAAAAAGTGATTTTAAGAGTAAGAAGTACTATGTGCAAAAGAGAGAGTTGTTTGAAAGATAAGGACTCTGTATATATTCAAAGTTTTCCTATGATAAAATTGTAGTGCATTCCAAACCAAACAAATGATTATAGAGGTTTATTTGGATTAATGAAAAGTTCAGATTTGTAAGGTTCTGTATAATAANTTTAAACTCATCTAAAAATTTTTTAATTAGCCTTGGAAATGGGTGAACTTAATTCTTGCACCCATGAACATGGGTAAGATCGACTATAATCTAATAATCTTAATCTTCGCTATCGTTACTTTTTGCCCAAGCAACGCTGTTTATCTTCTAGTATTATATAATTTATTTATTTATTGATGAATTTTGTGTAAAACATTTATTAATTGTATTATTATTATTATTTATTTCAGAAATTAGGAGAATGCCTGAGAAACACATGACAAATATAATAATTTGCATAGCATACTCTATATTATTAGTTATAAATTAGGATGTTTTTAAATTAATAAGTAAATTTTTAATTTTGGAATTATACCTGTAAAGCTGTAAACAATCTACTTAAATTAAAACAAATTCAATTTTTAAAATGAAAAATATAGTTATTACATACAATTTATTTTATAGTTTTATTCAAAATAGTATTTAATTTTCAATATTAATTTAAGCAAAGATTTTAATCACTTCTTAATGTTTTTTAGCCTATTGTTTTAAAAAAATGTAATTGCTGGAATTGAAAAAAATTAAGTTTTATGGATTGTTTTAAATAATACATCATGTGTTTTCTGTTTATTTAAAATATTGTTACTAAATAGAAATATGTAAATATTGTATATTTTTAATTCATTTTATCAGAGTACAAATTGAATTTTTTTTAGTGATTCACTAATTTTTAAAGTTTATGTATTATAATGTGTTGATTGTTGGATGCTTATGATGATGATGTAAATTCTGTAATTAAAATAAATAAATGTATATAATCTGTAATTATTTTCATCATTACAAAACAGACAACAATAATTGAATATGAAAAATACAAGGTATAAAATACAATTTCAACACAAATTTGACAAAATAAACTGACAAAAAACATTGCACATACAGATAGAATTGTCTGATTACTGTTAAATTTAGCATATGGCTATGCTTCAGACAAGGATACAAATAATTACAGTTGAACTGAGAATAAAATTGCTAAAAGAGTGCCTTAAGTTTGCAATCCTGGTATCACATAAAAAGGTTCTTAGAGACTATGTTCAGTATTTTCAGTGTAACTATTGTTTAAAAGTTCTTGAACACCAGCATGCATTCAGGACAAGCTTGAGAGATGGCATCATTGGACTGAAAGAAACAGGCTGATCATTTTGCCAATTTGGCAGCTATCTTGAACAATTTTAGAGGTGTGTACACAGTCCTTAAAATCCTAAAATTCTAAGTATAAAAGAGTTTTCCATTGTAGAACTACAGTACTAAGGATATTGTTATTGACATGAAATGCATCCCCTAAATGGAATTCCTGGATCTGTCCATTATGTAACAAGGCATTTCAATTTCCATGTAAAAAACATGCAGAAGAGATGATTGCTTACATAATTCATTACTATTTGGTATTGAGAATGCACCAATATACAAAATGAAAAAATTATTTGCTTGAGTTGGAAAGCAAAAAGAAAAAACTCAGATGGTTTTTTGTTGCAAATTTTTATTGTGTAATAATAATAATAATAATAATCACAGAGCCCAAATGGTTAGGAGTTGAAATTTGGTACACAGGATGCATTGTGAGAATGTACACTAAAAAGAGATTTTTCAAAATTCCCCCTCCCCCATGGGGAGAGGGAGAGAGTTAAGGATTACCCTGAACTTGGATTTTACTGTACTATTTTAGATGCAGTTTTTTTGTGGGAAATTGAACATATTTTTAAACTCATCTAAAAATTTTTTAATTAGCCTTGGAAATGGGTGAACTTAATTCTTGCACCCATGAACATGGGTAAGATCGACTATAATCTAATAATCTTAATCTTCGCTATCGTTACTTTTTGCCCAAGCAACGCTGTTTATCTTCTAGTATTATATAATTTATTTATTTATTGATGAATTTTGTGTAAAACATTTATTAATTGTATTATTATTATTATTTATTTCAGAAATTAGGAGAATGCCTGAGAAACACATGACAAATATAATAATTTGCATAGCATACTCTATATTATTAGTTATAAATTAGGATGTTTTTAAATTAATAAGTAAATTTTTAATTTTGGAATTATACCTGTAAAGCTGTAAACAATCTACTTAAATTAAAACAAATTCAATTTTTAAAATGAAAAATATAGTTATTACATACAATTTATTTTATAGTTTTATTCAAAATAGTATTTAATTTTCAATATTAATTTAAGCAAAGATTTTAATCACTTCTTAATGTTTTTTAGCCTATTGTTTTAAAAAAATGTAATTGCTGGAATTGAAAAAAATTAAGTTTTATGGATTGTTTTAAATAATACATCATGTGTTTTCTGTTTATTTAAAATATTGTTACTAAATAGAAATATGTAAATATTGTATATTTTTAATTCATTTTATCAGAGTACAAATTGAATTTTTTTTAGTGATTCACTAATTTTTAAAGTTTATGTATTATAATGTGTTGATTGTTGGATGCTTATGATGATGATGTAAATTCTGTAATTAAAATAAATAAATGTATATAATCTGTAATTATTTTCATCATTACAAAACAGACAACAATAATTGAATATGAAAAATACAAGGTATAAAATACAATTTCAACACAAATTTGACAAAATAAACTGACAAAAAACATTGCACATACAGATAGAATTGTCTGATTACTGTTAAATTTAGCATATGGCTATGCTTCAGACAAGGATACAAATAATTACAGTTGAACTGAGAATAAAATTGCTAAAAGAGTGCCTTAAGTTTGCAATCCTGGTATCACATAAAAAGGTTCTTAGAGACTATGTTCAGTATTTTCAGTGTAACTATTGTTTAAAAGTTCTTGAACACCAGCATGCATTCAGGACAAGCTTGAGAGATGGCATCATTGGACTGAAAGAAACAGGCTGATCATTTTGCCAATTTGGCAGCTATCTTGAACAATTTTAGAGGTGTGTACACAGTCCTTAAAATCCTAAAATTCTAAGTATAAAAGAGTTTTCCATTGTAGAACTACAGTACTAAGGATATTGTTATTGACATGAAATGCATCCCCTAAATGGAATTCCTGGATCTGTCCATTATGTAACAAGGCATTTCAATTTCCATGTAAAAAACATGCAGAAGAGATGATTGCTTACATAATTCATTACTATTTGGTATTGAGAATGCACCAATATACAAAATGAAAAAATTATTTGCTTGAGTTGGAAAGCAAAAAGAAAAAACTCAGATGGTTTTTTGTTGCAAATTTTTATTGTGTAATAATAATAATAAATAAATAAATTACTAAAAGTAGAAAATATCTAATCTCTAATTACTCTCGCTCTGCTAAATTCGTATTTACTTTGACTATGTTTATAGTATTGCATATTAAAAATTATTTTTTAAAATACCAAATAGAAAGCAAAATTTAATAGATATAACTAGTAATTTAATAGGTAACTAGTAAATGTAATACTGAAAATTCTACTTTATTAACTTTTTAATATTGTGAAAAGATAATTGGTTTTCTTTTAATTGGAAATTTCTTGAAAATTTTTCAATAAATTTCAAATATCCAGTATCAAGTGAATGCTGACTACCATATCCTCTGCAACTAGTTTATTCAGCATAATACATATGCATTTCGAATTGTTGAGAAAATTTCAACTTCTTTTCTCAGTTACAATTAAAAAGCGATATTAAAAAAAAGTAAAACAATCAATGGAGTAGTAAAGACATTTTGGCAGAATTAAATACTGCAATAGTAACAGCATATAAATTGAAATTCTTTAAGTGATTTTTGATGTTTAAAACATATCTTTATCCTTAATTAAAACATGGTGAGAGGGGATTTGTAATTTCGTAATTATTGGCATATATGATTCAAAATATTTAATATTTGTATTAGCCTGGCCTTTAGGCTAAATTCGATGGCCAGTTTCTGGTTTACGTATATCGAATTTTAATATTTTGTTTGCATCACCATTGTCAAATTGTACATTGTTCTTTTCGTAATGTAAATCTAAACTCAGTTTACTGGAATTTCTTGGAGTGATTTCAATACGTATTTTGTAAGGAGATTTTCCTCTGTAAGCTGCAATGCCTTTGATATCAATGGAATTTTCATTCATTTTAAACAAACCGTTGAGTTCCATTGGATATTGTAACCAAGATGCAGATAAAACAGAACTAAACTCGTGGTGAAAGCTATTTGCATGATTTTTTACTATATACACATATTCGAAAATATATCCTTCATCTTTCGCCCATTGAAGATTTGATATTCCATGAAAACTTTGAGGTGATATTTCAGTTACTTCCTCAAAATATTTTATGGTTCTACCAGGATATTGAAAGATAAAATCGAATATCATGGTCAACGGGTTTTCTTTAACTAAATAACATTTTAAATTGGATTTAATATAGGCGTGTTTATACTGTGTCATTTCAGCATTAACTGTAGTGTTTAACTGTTTTCTATCATGATTTACAGAAAATTTAATTTCATAATCAAGTTTGTGTTCTGGAGCATTAATTGATAAATAATTTTCTGATAGGAAATTTTGATCATTGTTCCTCTCAACTTTACTGATTTGAAGGAGGTTAAGAATTCTTCGTGAATTTGAACTATCTTTAATTATTAACTCGTTTTCTAGATGTTCTTTCGGTTTATATTGGAAGTCCCAGTCCAATTGAACATTATATTTTGGTATTTGAGAAGAATAAATTTCGGCTGAGGTTACAGTTTTGGTGAAATATTGAGTACTTAGATTTTGAAATATGTAGTTTAGTTTAAAAGTTTGTCGTCGATATCCTGTTTTTTGATAATGTATTGATATATCGGATAATATTTTCCCGCTTTTAAGTGCTATCCCCGAAAATTGAGATTCAAAAAATGGAAACTTCACATTCAAATCTATACTCAATTTCCATGTTGACTGCTTAATAAACGTAATATTCCCTTCTTTAATAATTGTACCTGTTAAGAAAAAAATTATAAAATATTAAATATAAAAATATTTAATATATAAATTTT